GTCTAACAAGCTAACTAAGCTCTGTTTCTTTTCATTTATATATATTTGACTTCTATATATCTATATAGAGATATAGCAACCCAGCAGCTAATTCATTCCATTAGCAAAAATGTTCATCATATATATTATATATATATACATATAACGATTATGTTTATTCTTTGTTTGTGTTTGTTTCTGTTGCCATTTTAATTTGTAGTTTTGGCATTTGTCAGGCATCTAAGTATTACATTTTGTTAGATCATTAACGCATTGTTTCATAATCATATGTTGTAAATTGTTCCGTCCAACAAAAAACAAAAAAAACAAAAAAAAAAAACAAAAAAAAAAGAAGAAAAAAAAACAAAAAAGATAACAAAGAATGAAAGCAAACATGTAAAGCACTTGCAAGTTTCTTTGTATAACAGCGGCCATAAATAACATGAAAACTAGAAACACGATTATGATTTGTATTATGAATTTGATTGTAAGACTCTGTAGTTCAATCAGCATCAATCAATTGCCATTATTCTTGCTTTGCAGTAGACGATCTCTAGATTTGTAGCACATATTGTAAATAAGACAATATCTATATTGTATTATCAAATTCAACTTTGTTAACTCTCACTCGCTCACTCATTCGTCCTCTCCCTTTCGAATCGAATTGAATTGTGTTGAACTGAACTACAGAGTGAAATATATATATATATATATACATACTTATATATGATATTTAAAATTCTTATATCACACACACACACATCACACACACTTATCGATGTTTTTGAATTTATTTTAAGTGTAACACTAATTTTGATCTATTTAAATTGTATAACTCGTAAACTCGTATCTCAAATTCTACACGAATAGACACGCAGACAGATCGCATTGCCTTGATAGCTTGCAGAGTCCCAGTGCTAGTGCTAGTGCCATATAAACGCAATCAATCATTAGTTGTAGAACGTGCATCGCATCATCAATCAATCATCAATCAATCAATCAACCATTTGGGGCATGCCTAGAGCTTAACACGAGCAAACGCTTGTTCTATCTCCCTCCAAACAAAAACAAAACAATTAAAATACAAATTACTATAGAATGCGTAGTTATATAGAAGATGATAAACCGATTGACTGACTGAGTGAACGTGAATTTGATTGATGGTAGGCAAAAATCGAGCAATGATTGATGATCAATTTACATTGATTGTACAACAAATTAGCAAATTATTAACGAAACCTACACACCTACAGCACACACACAAACACACACTCACATGCACACACAAACACACACCCGCACACAGGCTGCTTGTATGTGTGTGTATGTGTATCGATTCCAATGCAAAGACTTTATACATGTGTTTTTTTTTTTAACTTTAAATTAATTATTATTATTACTATTATTATTGATATATATGTATTTATAATAACGAATTATTATGATTGATGGCATGATTGACACGCATCGTACATCACGTTAAGACACTTATTTCGAATTTCTAGTCAGTTAGCAGCGTACAAATCGTTTTGTTACATCACTCACAAACATACACCTTGTATACATTATATATATATATACATATATATGTGTATATGTTTTTTTTACATATATATATATACACGATCCAATTATATTTTGCCATGCTTTTTACCAGGCCCAAAAACTAAATTAAATACAAAAACAAAACAAAAAAAAACCATACACAATCCTAAGGCTAAGCTATATATGAATGTATTTGTATGTATTATCAAAAAAAAAAAAAAAAAAAAATGAATATTACAAAGGTAAAATTTTCAAAATAAACAGATTGCACACAAAATTCAAAAATAAAAAAAAAAGTCAAAGAAAATTTCATTTTTGGTTCTCTTCGAGTCTCTTTCGTTTTAAGCTAAACTAAACAAAACAAAATGAACCATATTTATAATATAGTTAAAGCAAAAGAAAATTATATATATATATCTGCTATATATATATATATAGATATATAATGCAAATTCGCTTGGCACTAATATCTAAGAATTAGATAAAAACACTGATATAAAAAAATAAATTCCCAGCATTCACTCTCGCGCTCGCACAACTCTCACTCACTTTAGCTCCCTCACTCGGTCTCTCTAATCATTTATTGATAAACGATATATATCGCAATTCGTTAAGTATGTAAGTTCTATGAATGTCCCACCTGCTGTTCCACTTTCCCACACACACACACACATACCTTTTGATCGCCGCTTATTTTGCACCAGGCCTAAAAATTTTACAAAATTTTGCACAGAGAGAGAGAGAGAGAGTGGGAGAGCGAGATACAGGCAGAGTGAGAGTCAGAGAGAGAGAGACACAAGAGAGAAGTATAAGAGAGCCACCGCCGCATAATTGTTAACATTGTATCAGTTATAACGTAGTTGTTGTGTATCTATTGTATGTTTGTAAGTACTCCAAGAAAAAACAATGAAAACTCGATTAATCGCTAATCGATGTACGATTTATCGATAATTGCCACACATTCTTGCTGTTGCATTTGGAGTTCCCATGTGTTTCCCACTTGACAAAGCTAGTGTGATATATGATTTCACTTCATTTCTCTTTTAGTTCTTTTCCAACACTGTGCAAACAAATACATATATATCTTTATACATGCAGATAAGCCCTCAATCTACACACAAGGCTTACAATATATATATATAACAATATACATGACATATATGGGCATTATATATATATCATATAAAACGCTTTTACAACACTGTTTGTCACTTGCCTTTCGACGCTCTCAGTTCTCCTACAAGTATTGCCGATCCCTCCTAACCGATTCTTTGTACCTCTTCAACAATATATTTCTATATGCTTCTTCTTCTACTCTATTCCGTTATCTATGTAAACCGTTAAAAAATATACTAAATAAAGTAAAGGAAATGTCGAAAATTCAACAATTTAACTGGAAAACAAAGAAATTATAGTTGCCATGTAAAACACTTGAGTAGAGTCTATTATTATTATTATTATTATTATTAATATTATTACCATTATTATTATAATATTATAAGCGGAACACAATTTTGTTTAAACGAAACATTGAATTCGAAGCAAGCAACAAGACAAAGAGAAGCAGAAGCAAAAGAGAAGCAAACAGCAAACAAAAAAAAAAAAAAAAAAAAAAAAAAAAAGGAAAACAAATGAAAAACAAAAATATTATAAATATTCAAAAACTGAAATATTAATTTAAATAAAATAATTTATTAATAAACCACATATTATGAAATGACATAAAACTTGAATGTGTTTTTCTTTCAAAATGGCGGGGAATCGATTGACTGTTTGATTGAGTCGACTGATTGAACAAAGCGAAGAGCAAAGATTGTGATTGATAGATTGTTAGAGCTGCGAGTGTTGAAGTTATTGCTTCAGAATCAATATAATGATGTAAATATGTATATACATATATTGATTGATGATTGATGATCAACAGATTTACACAATCAATAAGGGCTTCAATGAAAGATTGATTGATTGATTGAGCTCAAGAACTAGATAGCTCCATTCCAGAGACTGCAATTGCCCATGATGAATACGGATCAGAGTTGTACACAAATCAGATATGTATATACATACATAGTATATATCTCTGCCTGCCCTAACTCACTTGCAAATGGAGTTCGACGATCGCAAGCGAAGCGTCTGTGTGGTTTTTCCTCTCGCTCTCAAATTGGATCGAGTGGTAAGCTGAGTTTGTTTCGACTTCGGTGCTATTTGGCTTGTAAATGTATCATATTGTGCGATTCCATGATAATTGGATTCGATCGCAGTTAATTGAGCTCTGTGAGGGAACATTTGTACGCTCCATATGCGAATAGTTCTATCGAAATTTTGCCAGTTGCCCTTATAAAGTCGTGTTCTTGAAATTTACGCAACATTTGGCGCTTCTTTTGACGCGTGATCTTGACAATTCTGACGATGGCGTCAACCTGCATCATTATATACAACTGCCACGCCCCCGTCGTTGCCTCGCCGAAGCCTCGCATTATCCGCACCCAAACCCACCCACCCACTCAGACAATCGCCGCGGCCCCCTCGAGTGGGCGAGGATCCATGTGGAACGTTACGTTTTTTAATAGCCTTTAACCTAATGGAATTTTAATAGAATCGGGTATATTGGCAGCGAGTATGGGGCAAGGTATGTGAGGGCGAGGTAGAGATATATGGCTATATGGATGACCTGAAGAGCGGGAGAGCTCCGATTCTGATTTACTGAGATCCAAATTAATTTTTGCTTTTAAAACTGAGTTGTAAATTGACTTCTTAACACTAACTTCTCTAACATACTCGAAACCCTTCAAAACTACAGAGCTCAAATTTGGTATGTGGATTCGTTGAAGAATTTCTGAGCTGCAAAGCATTTCCTTTTTTTTTTTTGCAGTTATCTCGGAACTTGATATCTAAACATAGCTCGAGAACTTTAGAGGCTAGAAAACTAAAAGTTGGTATATGTATTCTCGAAATCTAAATACGTTTAAGAATTATTCCATTTTATAGATAAATATGCTATAAGCTAGTTTAGAACTTGGTAATCTCTCTATAAGTCGAAGACTTTAGCTAGAGAGCAAAATTTCAGTACGTAGATTCAAGTAAGCTATGTACAATATAAGACTGATGTAGTTCATAGTACATAGTTCTCTGTGGAGTTTGATCAACGATAGTATCGTATTCTATTCTTATGGCAATCGTAATCGAGAACTGAACACATTTACATATCTAGGGTATCTGCCAGCCGGGCAGTCTCAGCTGGAGCGCTCTTACTTGTTTTAAAGTGCGTTTCACGTTTTAATTCCAATTGTAAGAACTTCCAATTTGAGCGATAGACCGACATTTTGCCACACCAAGATCTGGCTGTAACTGTGTGTGCGGATGTCTGCGGATGTCTGTCTGTGTGTCTGTCTTGACTTTCATTTCAGTTTCAGTTTCAGTTGTGTGTTGTGATGTGATGAGCCAACGAAGCGTATAAAAGCCTAGCGAAGATGCTTCAACGTTTCAGTTGCTTTCAAAAATTCGCGCGCTCCTCAAGTGAGATCCGATTTGAATTTTGTTTTATTTTTTTTTATTATTTGTTTGTTGGATTTATAATCGATTCACGCACGGAATTATAATGTCCTATCTCGGCAACGCATCGGACGTGGAGTGTGAAAAGAACGAGTTCCCCAGGCCCCGCCCCACGGGCATCGTCACCAAAATGGCCGCCCACAAACTGTCGTCGGAGCCGAAGTGGGCCGACAAAAGGGAGGATGATTCCGATTCCGAAGTCTCCTCGCCCGACAATTTCCTCACCAAAGGTGAACTAAGAACAACATTGACAAATGAGCACCGTTAGAAGTCGCAAATTTGGAAAAAGGATTTATATGCATATGATCATATATCATACATACATATATAGCCCATAAAGTGACTCCTATATGAACAATCTTGAGGCTTCAGAAGCCGTTTATACATGTGCATATCGTATAACAAGTATAATTTTCTCGAATACACTCTTATATAACTGTATAACTGTTCTATATGCTTCGTAAAAATAGTTTAAAGCCAAAGTTTTCATGTCTGACCGATCTCAAATCAAACCTAACCTCAAATTAACTGAGAGAACCGCATGATGTATCAAATTTCTATAGCATGCTCTGTCATATATACATAAATATCAATGCATGGCTTATTATCTAACTAAATCTTTTGAAAGATCGGAGTAAGCTCTCTCAATTCCCAATTCAAGCTGAAAGCTAACCTCAAATTCTGAATCTTTGCATTAGAAATACTGCATGGTTGTAGCTCCTAATACAATGCTCATATCCGCAGCCATATTCATATTCATATTTAGAACTATATTTACATCTATAACATCTATTTTCATATCAATACATCAATATTCATGCCCATATCAATAACGGTACTAACTGCATCGTAACTGCATTACAGGAGCATTTCTATTGACACCTTCGTATGAACTATCCATGGAACGAGCCGCATTGATATGCGAGAAGATGAGTTTCAAGGGTTGCTTCAGCTTGACCAAAACGGCAACTGGAATTCTATTTAAATTCTCACATCCAGATGATTATCAGGCGGTGTTCAAGAAGGGATTCCACAAGGTGACCGGAGCGCGCTTTTATCGGAAAGTAAGTGAAAGACCAAATACTCTTGCTTATGCTTACATATATAGAGATCATATGTATAATTATCTCTCTCTCTCACACACACACACAAACGCACACTCTCTCTCTCTCTCTCTCTCTCTCTCTCTCTCTCTCGCTCTGTGTATATCCCTGTCTTTTCATCTGTCTGCTTCTATTTCCTTGTAATCAAATGTAGCTGCCTATTTATTATTAGATATCATATTTGGAATATAAAATAAATCGCATTCACTCAATTTATGAAAGCGAAATAGTTCCTTATACAATATACACTCTATCTCCCTGACTCTCTCAAGAAAAAGAAAATTGTATGTATCATGAATATATATTATATATTATCTCCCTCGTAGTCTATCTCGTTCTATCTCTTTCTCGCTTGCTATCTCACTCTCTTGCTCACTCACTCTCTCTATCTCCTTACATCACATTTGCACTTGATCTTTATCTGTACCGCTCTGTCCCCTCTCTCTGTCTCTTTCTGTCTCACTGTTGCTATCTCGTCCTTTGCACTCACTCGCTCGCTCTCTCGCTCTCTCATTGTTAGTAAAGGTTAACTTATCATACGATATCATATATAGATGTCTCTCTCTCTCTCACTTTCTCCATATTCTACATTCTCCCTCTCTTTTATAAGTATTATAATTAGAGCTCATCCATAGAGCATCAACTCTCTCTATCTCTCTCGCTCTTTCATTGTTAACTTATCATTAGATATCATATATAGCTCTCTCTCTCTCTCTCTTACTTTCTCCATATTCTACATTCTCCCTCTCTACTTTCTCTCTCTCTCTTTCTCTCCCTCTCACGCACACACACTCTCTGTCACACACAATCTTTATCTCTCTCACTCACACACACACACTCTCTCTGACCCGCTCTCTCTCTCTCTTTCTCTCTCCTTCATTGAATTGTGAAATCTTTTGAAAATCTTTTAACATTTTTCCAGCAAACATTCTCGCGCAGCGTGAGTATTTCCTATTGGCAAAATCCATTGGCAAACCATATACATACATAGTAGTACATATATGTAACATATGCTCACACCTGTATATATTGTATGCATGTACATGCATACAGTAGATACATATATGTTCATAGATAGTAGAAATCAATTCTGCTCGCTTCAGCCGTAACACCTTTGTGTGCATCTGTGACCTTTGTTTCGTTTGTCAGTCTGTTGACCCTGTTTGCCTTGCAGATCGCCATTCCGTGTCGTCCGCGAAAGACGTTTACGCTCTATGTGCTGGATGTGCCGGAGGATCTGCCCGTGGAGGATATACGGCATGCCATGTACAAGTTCGACTCGGTGGTGGAGGTGGTGCGCCTCCACATCTATTCCAGCCCGGGTCTGGCCAGCGGCGGCTCCGCCAGCTCCAACCCGGACAAGGTTGAAGGTGAGCAGCTCACAGCCTCTCCGAGCCCGGGCCAAACTCTGCGCCGTGCGGCCATACGAAGTAATGTCCAAATGCCAATTGAACACACACCAACACACACACACTCACACACACACACACACACAGAGAGAAGAAGTTCATAAATTTGATTCCAAAACTCTTTCAGGCAGCAGCAGCGCCAAGAGCCTCGTCTCTGGCATTGTGGGCGAGGCCATTGAGAAGGCGGAGCGTCCGGAGCGCCGAGAGCTGCCGCCAGCTGTTATACGTATAACACTCGCCTCCATGGACGAGTACAACATTCTGCTCCAGAACGGACTCAACTTCTACGACGCCACATTCTTTCCCACCGAGGCCAACATCTCCCTAAAAGGCGCCAAGATTGATTACAAGAGGCGGTAAGACCTAAGCCCAACTAGCACGATCCTCACTCGCACATGATACACTGAAAAAAAACATGCAAAAAATAGCTAAATTTAATAATTATACCAAAAAATTCACAATTGAAACAGCTCAACTTTTATAATATATCTATATTTTTTATAAATTACTTTTAAAATATAAATTTGCTAATATCCCAAAAAAAAAATAAAATAAAATAATAATAATAATAATAATAATAATAACAATAAAAACAAGTTGATATTTTTTAGTTAACACTTAAATATATAAATAAAATATTTATTTTTAATTTATAAATAGCAACAGCAAAGATAATAATAATACGATTAACAATATCATTTTTTAATATAAAAAAAATCCAAATTTTTTTTTTTTTTTTTTTTTAATAAATGTTTTTTATTATAATAAGAAATAACAATTTGGCAAATAATTATTTTTAAATCAATTTAGAATCACTTTAAAAGTAAAACAAAAAAATTTTATATTTTGCATTTTAAAACTGAAGCAAACACTAAATATTTAATATACAGTTATGTCTTATTCTAAACTTTCAAGGATGAAAATGCCTAATATGTATATTTCATATCATTTTTATACACTTCATTTAATGACTACCAAAATTTGAAATCCATTAGCTGTAATTTTGCTCAGCATTTGCTCACAGCCTATCAACGGCCTCACTTCCATCCATCCATCTCACTCACTTTCGCTCCACTCCCACTCAGCCACACTCACACACAGCCACACAGCTTTGTCTATATTGCCTACTCGCTCTCACTCAGTGCCTTTTCATTGACAGCATGCTCGATGGCTCGATACCGGGGCGTGTGCGTGAGCTTTTGCCCGTGTTCGATGCAGCTGGCTTTTGCAAGCTGCCGGCGCCCACGAGCAAGCTAATTAAGCCGCCGAGGTCATAAGCGACGACGACGACGACGACGGCGACCCCAGATGTTCCGGCTAAATAAGCAGCCAGTCAGCAGAAGACCCCATGCCCGCCCCCACTAAACATTTGACGAAAGCAGCAAAGAAAACAAAAAACAACAAAAATAAACATTCTCGATTTGATTTTGAACGGATGCTTGGAAACGTTTCCGCTGCCAACCAACTACAATCTATAATAATTCCTCTTATGGACAAAAAAAAAAAAAACTATTTCTCATCTTGTGAACTCTATTTTTTTTTTACAATTTTTTTTTTTTTGCCTAGTTTTATTATTAAAGGCCCATAAAAGGCTTAGCGTCTAATTTGTTTGATTGTCTAACAGCAAAAAAAAGAAAAAAGAAAAACGAAAGAAAAAACAAAATTAAAAAAAAAAACAACAACAACAAATAATAAAATAAAAATGAAAAATTATTTTCAATGGCAAACGGAAATCAACTAATTCAATTTACACGCCTTATATAGTATATAAACGATATATAATAACTTGTAAAATAAATATATATACCTATATACATATATATACCGATATATAACCCCTTCACATCTACAGAAAAATTTATTGTTTATTTTCTTTGATTGTTGCGACTGCGAATGTCTTATAAGAGGTTCTGAATTCCAATAAGATTCTCATATGGAGTTGGGATTGGGGCAAAGCGTAGTCTGTCTTAAGCAGTGTTGCCAGAAAGTTCAACAATTAGGAAAAAAAGCTAAAATGAGCTAAAAGACTTGGAGATAAATTTAGCTTTAGATTATTTAAGTAATGTTTAGGCAGAATTGAAAAGTTCATCTGAAAATCTATATAGTGATCTAATTCAGACTTTTAATTGAAACTGTGTGAATGTGTCTATTTGTATGTGTATGTGTGTGCGTGTGTGTGTGTGTAGAAGACTAAATTGAAATAAGAACAATTTGTGGATTCGTTTAATACTTTTTCACTTGATTTTTATTTGTTTTTTCTTTATTTTTGCACTTTATTTAGGTAATTGATTTAGATATACATTATATGTGTACATACATACATCTACATATATATATATATATACATATATATATATATATAGATGTATAGCATAGATCTTGATTGATTTAACAGACAAAATTGTTGCACAAAGTTTAACACAAAGACATAAGTAAACGCGCACACACACACACGCACACAGAGACACATAGACACAGGAGGTACGTGTGTGCATGTGTGTGTCTGTGTCTATATATAGATTATATAGAATATATAGTTTATATAAATATATTCTCATAAGCATATAATTTATCATACTGCAGAATGTCTTGTATATATATATATATATAATAATAATAATTAATAATTGATTTAAAGCATATATAAGTAGTAAATATACACACACACTCATACAGGTGCATATGCATATATGTATAGGTATAGTATATATATATATACGTGAATATACATTGGTAATATATATATATATATAGTCTGTTTAGGAAATACTCATAGAATTTAAACGAATCGAACAAGAATTCGTTAATTAGTTATTTTGTTGTTGGAAAAAGAGACGAAAACAGCAAAAAAAAATATCATTATTATCATTATCAACATCATCATCATCATTATCATCATCATCGTATATAAGTATATATGTATGTAATAAAGAAATATAATAATCAACATTTAACAAACAAAAAAATTGTAATAAAATACGCACTCACACCCACCCACACACACACACACCCACCCACACACACACACACTCATTACACACCCACACACACTCACTCGCACACTCACACATACATACAGTAAGCACATGGTACATATATTGAAAGATTTAAAGCGAAATTCAGATTACACAGACAAAGGACACGACGGACACATAATTAGTATACAAAATATGTTTATGTTTATGTTTGTTGTTGTTGTTGCTGTTGTTGTTGTTGTTGTAGTAGTTGTAGTAGTTGTTGCTAGTTTTTTCCTTCCTAATACACGGAGTGCACAATATTATCTTTCTCGACCAGCAGCCGCACCTTCATGCAGCCATCGGAGCCACATGAGAAGAGACGCCCGAATGGATCCACATACACCTGGCTAACGCCCTGGCCGGTGTGCTTGAAGAATCCGTTTTTGGCATGTTCATGCGGGAACGTATTGATCAGCATAAACTGGTTCATATCCCATATCTGCAATACAAATCAAAGGATCAATCAAAGGAACATGTATTATAGATATAACAGAAATAATGCACAAGACTTGAGTCTAGATGGAAATAAATGAATTATATAAGAGTCTTAAAAGTCAAGTAAACTGTCTTTTAGGTATATAGATTTGTAAATGATCAACAGATTTCTAATCATGACACCATCAGTCAGTCAGTCAGTCTGTCAATCAGTCAATCCGTTAGTAAATCAACCCTTTAGATTACATTGCATATCAGACTATCAAACAATTTTCGCTTATATAAAACGGTTTCATGCTTTGCCTCTAGTCTCAATCAGTCAATCAAGCTGTTGTTTACCTTGATGTCGCCCTCAATGGAGCCCGTGACAAAGAACTCCTCGTGCGGATCCAGCGCAATGCACTTGATGGTGCTATCGTGTGCCTGCGAAAATCAAGTCCATGGCAATTAGCTGAGGATAGCTGAAGCGTGAGCTTCGAAACTCACCTGATAGCGATGCCGGAGTGTGCGCTGGCGCACGTCGAATACGCAAACGTCGCCGCGCTTGCCACAGGAAATGAGGACCTGATGCTGCGGTGCAAAGACCAGACAGGATGAGCCCTGATCGTGGCACGTGAAGGCTGAGAGCCGGCGAGAGAGAGAGAGAGAGGGAACAATCATAGTCAAATTACCATAGGTCACCAGAGAGAGAGGCTCAACACTTACCCGACACGCAGGACTTCTTGTGCGGCAACAGTGTGTCCCAAATGTTAATGTTCTTGTTCTCGGAACTCTGACCAGCTGTGGGAGAGAGCAAAGGGTAGTTGAGTAAATGGTTTACTTGCTTCGGAGCTGGCCCTTACCGCTGGCTAACAAACTGCAAGAGCCGAGGAACACGAAATCGGAGAGCGCCTTGTTGTGGCACTGATAGGTCTAGGGAGCAAGAGGAAGCGAGTGTTAATACAAATATGCTTATAAGTCCGTACGTATATGGTGAGACTAACAATGAAGGATCGATTGTTCTGGGAGGCTGTGCCCGCTTGCCAGAGGCTCAGATTGCCATCGCCATCGCCGATGCCGAATTTGTTGCCCTGCTCGGAGAAGCGACAGCGCGTGACCTTGGCAAAGGTGCCGGAGGTGCGTGGACAGCAGACGGGCTGCTGGTGTCCCCACTCCCAGATCTGCACGGAGCCATCCTGGCCGCCAGTCAGGTAGAGCGGCATCAGCGGATGCGCGCTCATGCGCTTCACGTTGTCCACCTTGTGGCGCATCACCTGGTGGAGCGAGACAGATTGAGTATAGATGACAGAGATGGAGACAAGTGGAAACACTCACCATCGATGTGCCACGGCCGGACTGTGAGGCGCTCTGCGTGCTGACACTGGCTTCGCTGTAGCCGCTGCTCGTGCCAAATTGTGGCCTGTGGAGCATACAAGATGGGGATTAGGATTAGCAGGGGTTTTGCGGCTTGCATTGAGACTATCGACTCACTGATCCTGCGATTGAATGATGAGAAAGGCGGAGCTGTTGGTGTCCGCATCTTTGGACATGTTCATCATGTCATATTCGCACTCATCCTCATACCAATTGGGCGACTCGAGCAGCAGCGATATATCGAACTCCTGGATCTCGCGCGGATTGGCAAAGGCTATCATCGATGAGCTGTTGTTCTTCAAGCAGAATGTGAGTATCGATTCGTGATCCTTGTGTATGATGCGTATCTGGTCTGTATTCTCGTTTGTCGAATGCGATTGGCCTATGGCGAGGGATGGCGAGTGAGACATGAAACGGAAAGAGACAGATATAGAAAAAGAGCGCAAGAGCGAGATAGGCAAATGCAAGCAAAAGTGGTTAATACAAATTATAGCTAAGCGAAAGCGTAAATTTAATTAAATTAAATTATAATTGAATATTTGTGATCAAATGAAATCTGAATCAGCGATTCTCCTGTGTTCTCTCGTCTCTCCTCTCTCGTTTCCCGTTTCTCGTTTCTCGTCTAACTGCCTGCCAGGTGTTAAGCGCTGCTCTTCATTCAATTGACAACAAGGTGTTAAGCGAGCCTCGTCTTTACGATTGCGATTATCTTATCATCAAGTCTATTATTTGGTAATTGCCTGTTGACGCAGTTGTTCAGTTAACAATTAACAGCTGGCCGTTAACAGAGCCGCCAGCAAATCAGTGCCACTTCAAGCAGTTCAGCCGCAGTGCGCCTCAAGCAGTGCAAATGTTATCGATTAACGGCTTATCTCCGTCTCTCGACGAGTTGGAAGGAGATCGAGAGGTGAATCAAGGCTCAGCACTTCTCAGAGGAACGGCAACAACAACAAAAGAAGAGAATACAACAGTCGAACAAAAATAATATAACTACAACGGTTTTTGTTTCTATTTTGCTTTAATACATTTTCACTGGTAAACGAAAAAAATCACAAATAATTTAATATACAACAACAAAAAAAACAAAAAAAGAGAGAAAATACGAAAATTAAGGAAGGAAACATGGAAGAAGGTTTGGGATACTTCTGCGTAATACTTCGTAGATAACAAGTTTAAAATTAAGTAACATCTGCCACCTCAATACTAGCTAATTAGAACCGAACAACAACAGCAACATAAAAAAAAAAAATAAAACAAAGTTGTTAACAAAAACAGACTTACAGCCAGGCTGTAAATGCCCAAGGCGTGCATTAAACAAACGAACAAAAAAAAAAAAAAAAAAAAAAATAGGATAACAACAAATTACAAGCGACTGCTAAATATTAAGCTAATAAAAGTGATGCGTTAGAACTAATTAAGATATATACATTGGAATGCAAAATACATATACATATACATATATATGTATATATCTATATGTATATAAATATCAATATCTAAATACATATATACACACACACAAGTATATACATATATATATATATATATATATATACCATATAGGCATGTATAGCTACCAACTACTCTACTTGACCCTGACTCTGTGGACCCAGGGCGGTGCGGGGGTGCTTACTTAGAGGAATTTGCAACAACAACAATTATAATAGCAACATTTTGGTACGGAATACACACCTTCGTCGGTGTCGTTATCATTGTGATGGCTGTGATGATGGCTGCTGCGCGCACTGCTCTCGGTGCTCTTGCCAAAGATGCTCTTGATGAAGACCTCCTGTGTGGGCTCCTGCCTGACCAGATAGTTCCACAGCCGTCGAATGGGGCCCGCCGCCGAGCCGGAGATGAACGGCGTGTTGTCCTTGTTCAGCAGCGAGCGATACTTGTGTATGGCCAGGCCATTGATGCCGCTCTCCGCATAGCAGCCGGGTATATAGTTTCGTGAGGGCGGGCCACGGCTTATCAAATCGTTCAGGGCGTACTCCTGCCAGCGATTCAGTGTGCGTAGCACCTCATGCGACAGCGGACTTATGACGGGCAGATCTGCCGGGGCAATCGGAAAGTTGTGATTACAAATGAAATCGATAAATCTTCTCGGCTAGCAATGCCGCCTGATGCTCACCCTGCAGCTCGATGCCGGCCACCTTGACAAACTCCTGAATTTTGTGGGTGCTGAGCTTGATGAGCGCCAGGCGTAAGATGCTCCACGAGTAGGACATGGGATTGGTGTGCTCGGTGTTGTCCTTGGGCTTCAACTGACTGCGGCTCACATTGACATCGTCATCATCATCATCCTCCTCCTCGCCGTCCGATTCATGCGAATCATCCGTGTCGTAGTCATCGCAATCTGCAAATGCTCAAATTTAGTCGGCTATCGAATAAATCGAACTCTATGCAAGATCTGTACCTGTATTGGTTGGCTTCATGAGGAAGTAGGAGAGCATGGATGTCTCTGGCGGCATAAACTGCTCCCTGTACGTGGGCTTGTCCTCCTTCATGTTGCTCGAGGTGCTGTTCTGGCTAAAGCTGCCCAGGATCTTCATATTCAGCTTCATGCGCTGCTTCGTTATCGATGTCACCGTATTCCAAACGCTGTTCTCATCCGACGCATCCTCGCCAGCAGCAGCCGCCGCAGCAGCCGCTGCCTGTGCCTGGGCCTGGGCCTGGACGTGGGCATGCGGCTGTGCAGCCGGCTTGATCAGCAGCTTCTTCATGCCGCCGCCAAAGAGGGTCGACCAGGTGTCGTTCGTAAAGTTCTGGCCGCTGAGGCGATACAGCAAGCGACTGTCGCAGGTGGACAGCGAGTAGATGAACAGTGCCATGTAGGTGGATACAAAGGACTCGAGCAGCAGCACATTCAGCTTCGGCACATCCTCGTCCTTCTCGCGCGCCAGCAGCGCACGCAAATTGGTGACGCCCGGCCACTTGGAGGGCGTGGTGCAGATGCCCGCCGGCTCATCTGTGGAATACTTGCGGCGTCTGTGGAAAGCGTTGCGACTGCCCACCAGGTAGCTGCACTCGAAGGACGAGTTGATCTTGGCTATGTTCTCGATGCCCGGACTGGGATACCCATTGAAGGTGGCATTGTTAACCACAAAGCTCTCCGAATCGCACAGCGATTGGTAGATGCACGAGGAGAGTGCCACGGCCAGGTCGCGCAGCACAAAGATCTCGCTGAGGGCGCTCGTCTCGAGGCCCGGGAATGGCATCAGCTTAATGATGCTCTGCAGCATGTCCACCGTCTGCGACTGCAGATACTTGATGGGATCCGCTATCACTGTCTTATTGCCCGCCACGCAGGCGCTCAGCAGCGGCAGCGTGGTGGGGAAGGGCAGCGGGCTGAGCAGCTGCTGCTGTGTCTTTTCCTGCTGCAGCTCCTGCAGCAACAGAACCAGCTCCATGCGCACAGAGGCCAAGCCGCCGCCGCTGGCGCCATGCAGCGAACAGTAGCTGAGCAGAGTTCGCAGCAGCGTCTCATTGGCTAAGGGATGAGAAGAAGAGTGGGTGGAACATAAGGATAGGGTAAGACATCTAGGAGCCCCATGTGGTTAACTGACCTTTGAGCCAGCGCTTGCGCTTGGCGGCCCGCATCACCTTGGCCTCGAAGTCCTGCTTGTCCTGCATGAGTATCTCGTGCAGTGTGGGTCGCTCTGTGCACGGATAGATGCTGGCATTCATGTCCTTATCCTTGGTATCGTTGGCGTCCGCATCGCTCGCGTCGTTCACCTGCTCGGAGCTGCAATAGTTGCACAGCTGCTTCAGTGCCTCCACCTCGCGTTCCAGCCACATGTACAGCTGGTAGCGCAGCTGGCCGCCATCCACCTCGAAGCCGGTGGCCAGCGTCGACAGCTCCTCCATCAGGATCTTGAGGCAGGCCACAAACTTTAGCTGCTGCGCCATGATATCCATCTTGCACTCGTTTGTCCGGCTGGCTTTGCCCGGCTGCGGGGTGGCCAGCTCTGGATCTCGATCAGCGTTGTCGTTGTCGTTATTAGTCGCTGCTGCCGCCACTTCACCATCCCCATCGTCGTCGTTCTCGTTGTCTTCCTCGTCCTCGTCGTCCCACTTGATCTCGAACTTGGTCTCCCCGACGCTGCTCACTGGAGCGCTCCAATCGAATAGATCGGCCTTGGCCGACGACTGCCACTGATCCATGATGCCCGAATTGATGAGCTCATCCTTGGCCCCGACCTGCTCGCCAGTGTCGGCGACGCTGCAGCTGCTCGAGACTGGAGCCGCGTCGCTGTCGCTAATCTTCATGGGCAGCTTGTTGAGCACCTCCAGTGCCAAGGCCGGGCAACCGGACTTGAAGTGTCCGTGGGCTGTCGTAAAGTACAGCTGACGCTCGATGGCCGTAATCGAATCCTCGAGCTGCAGCTGCTTATCGGAGGCCAGCGGCTTGGAGCTTGTCTCGCCGGCATAGCTGAAGCCCGAGAGGACCACGTGCGCGATGCGCTTCTCCTGCGCCGAGATGGCAATGTTCTGCCGGATGAGCAGCGGATGGGTGCGCAAATAGATGTAGAAATTGAATACATTCGGATTGGTGGCATGCGGCGACTCTGGACGCAGCAAGTCCTCCTCGCGGTAGCTGCTATGCAGACTGCCCACGCCGTTGAGGAGCAGGGTGTTGAGGCTCTCCTGGTACTTCTTCAGGTTCCAGTAGGTCATGGAGCGCAAGAAGGGATCTGGATGGGCACGCGTCAGATCGCATCGTCCCGTCTCCACGTCCGTGCCGAGGACATGCTCATTGAGCAGCTTGTGGTAGTAGCTGCCCTCGGCGTCGCCCTCATAGAGTCGCGCAATGATCAGGGCCAGCTGGAAATCCTCGAGCTTGTTCATGCACACCTCGATCGCATCGTTCAGGGAGTTGGCCAGCAGAAAGAAGGCGACTGCATGCTCGAACCTCTGCTTGCCCAGCAGCACAAAGGCGTTCTTCAGCGCCGCCTTGCGCCAGCGATCCTCGGCAAAGTTGTTGCCAAAGAATGTGGTCATCTTCTCGTCGCGCTTCGAGCGGAACAGGCCCCACACCAGCGACTTCTTCTTCATGGCCAGATAGTAGATGGCCGCGTCCAGTGGATCCTGCTTCAGCTGATAGGCGCACTTGGCCAGCTTCTCGACGCAGCGGCGCAGCGTATTGATGTTCTTCAGCCAATAGCCGACGCCCAGGTCGCGCAACGTGGCCCAGCGCAGGTCGCCCTTGGTGTAGCTGGGTATCAGATGCAGCAGCTCCTCCTCGCTCTCCGAGTGATAGGCCCACACGATGTTCGCTGTGCCGACGCCCTGGCGCTGGAATTGCGCCCGCTGCTGGAGCGGGAGGCAGCGCAGCAAATACGTGAAGTGCTTCATGGCGAGCAGGAAGCGGAGACCGCAATCGTCCAGCGATTCGGTGGCCTGCTCCTTGGTGCCGCTAATGCCGGCGCCGGTGCCAATCTGGCCCTGGTTCTTGCCCATGTCAGCGGCAAACTTGTCCGAGAAGTCCGTGTTGCACGTGGCCACCGTGTCGGCCAGCGCCAGCAGATGCATCTGATCCAGCGACGACAGGCCCGGCAAATGGGTGTGGGTCAATAGGCGCGACAGCAGCTGGCCCTGTCGCGGTCCGAAATGCGAGATGGAGTGCTTGTCGGGCAGCGAGAGCCGACGCTCCTGACGCTTCTGCTCGCCATCGCAGAGCAGCTCGTCCAAATTGTCATCGGAGTTGTGCATGTCGAACAGCTCATCGTAATCCTTGTCCCCATCGCCCGCATTCGTCGCCTTTCCCGGCTGCTCGCGATCGGCATTGAGCAGCACCCAGAGCGGCAGAGGTGGTATCGAATTGATTTCCGCATAGTCGAGCATCAGCTCCTCCGGTATCTGGGTGGTGCTGCCGCGGTGCTCCGCCTGAATGTTGCTCGTGTCCGCCGTATAGCTGATGCTGAGGGTGCGCGAACGGGACCAGCTGCGCTGCCTGCCACCAGCACCGCCGCCGGCACCGCCTCCGCCCCCGCCACCAGCGCCGCCGCTGAGGCTGCCGTCATCATCGTTGGGCAGCCCGTTGGTTGAGCTGCTGCTGCCGCTGCCGCTCATGCAGCGCACCAGATGGGCCAGGATCGCCTTCACCCAGCGGATCTTGCCGCAGTTGAGCAGCTCCATCAGCTGCTTGGGATGGTATTGCGGCAGCACGGGGCACGCAATGCGCGACGCCTGGAAGAGGCCAAAGTCCGTCATATAATCATCATTGGGCGGTGCATCGCCCCCGAATCCAGCACCCACGCCATCCTGGCCATGCCCATTCATAGTCGCCATGCTGCTGTTGGCAGCGAGACGACGCTGCGACAGCAGCTGCAGATTCGCCGTGCTCACTTTGCTGATCAGCGGCATCGAGGCGACATTCTTCAGGCGCATCTGCGTCGACTCGTTGGCCAGGGAGCGCAGATCTTCGTCGCGCAGGTTGCGCGTGTCGGTCATATCGTCCATGCCGGCTGCAGCCGCTGCCGCCGCCGCCGCTGGGGACATGTAGTGGGCGCCGTAGTGGGGCTTCCATTGGGAGTAGACGTGCATCTCCGAGTCCATGGCCACGACGAGAATGCCGTCGCGCACCCAAGAGATTTGCATGGGCAACGGCGGCAGACCATCGGCCGTCTGCAGATCAATCTGGCGCAGCTTCATCCAACGTATTTCGTCCACAAAATTGGGCTGAGCCAGGGAGCTCGCCTTGCGCAATATCGGACGATTCACGGAGCGCGACTCCTTCATGGCCTTGATGTTCGCCTGGGCAATGTCCGAGCTGACCGGCGTGTACAACAGGATCTTGCTGCCCACCGCGACGGTCAGGATGTGCGAGCCATCCTCCTTGGATACCCAGTCCAGCTGCACCAAGTGCTTCTGGGTCAGCGGACAGGTGTTCCCGTTCTCGGCAATGCTCTTCCTCAGCGACTGCAGCGTGCTGAAGCTGGGCACGGTGAGCAGACCCACCGCAGCCGACTGCTTGGACGTGGCCAGCTCCGGCGTGGTCTCGCCGCTGCGTGGCGAACGGCTGTCCTGGTCGTGGGCGAAGGTGTGCAGCACCTGGTTGAGGCGCTGCTTCTTGGCCAGCAGCCGGTGGTCGTGCAGATAGCTCAGATCGATGCCGTGGCCAATGTTGATGCGCGGCAAGTGGACGTTCTTCAGATGGATCGTGTCCTCCAGCACCCATTCGCTGCCGCCGCTGCTCTCGCACTCGTAGATGGCCACGCAGAGATTGACGTAGCGCGAGTCCGGATCGCCGCGATTGGGACGCGTGAAGCTCTTGCCGTACTTATAGGCGCACGCAATGCGGCCGGAGTAGGCGGCGCTGATGTTCAGCGGCTGGCCGGGTATCTCGATGGCGGACTGCTGGATGCGGCTGAACATCTTCCACTCGGACCAGTGGTAGGCATCGCTGCCGGCGGGCTCGCACTTCCAGAAACGCGATATGGAGTCCGAGCAGGCGGTCACAATGATGTACGGCGCAAAGCAAGCGGGATAAATGCTCGAGCTGCTCAGGTGCCCGGCCGCCGGGGAGGCATGAATGACATCCACACCCTCCGGCAGGGGCAGCTCCTGGGTGCAGACCTTCTTCGTGGTAATCGAGATGTGCGGCGCCTCCACGTGCGGCCCAAAGTGCTCGGCGCCCGTTAGTGTCTCCGCGCCCTGCGACATGCGTCGCGGCTGGCCCGTATTCTGGTCGGCATCGTCCGGCTCCTGGGTCAGGTTGCTGTCCGGCACATACATGGCCGTCTCCGAGAGGAACGAGCTCTGCTGCTTCGAGCTGATGACAATGCGCCACATGTGAATCGTGCTGCCGCGCAGCGTCTTCTCGATGTTGACAATGTAGAAGGGCTCCTCGAAGTCCACATTGCGCTGCAGATCGACAATGGCGTCCATGTCCGACTCGAGCAGCGCATTCATCTTCGGCTCCTCCAGGTCGTGCATGTCCGGCACGGATGTGCGCTGTCCGCCCGTAATTAGCTGCGCCTGGAACACGTGCAGAAACTGTGTGTTCTGCCAGTCGTGCTTCGCATCCGAGATGGCATCCAGCTGCAGGATGCAGCCCGGCCGAGCTGTTGACTGCTGCGAGACGACCTTCAGCTTGTCGTGGAGCGCCGAGCGTTGCGCCTTCAGCGTGGACGAGGCATTCGAGATCATCGAGGAGAGCGAATGGGATTTGTGCAGCGTGTTCAGATTCTCCGAGCACGAGATCTCCGCCAGCAGGGTGCGCGCATCAATGACGGCTTGATAGACACGCAAATTCTCACCGTCGCTGGCCACAAAGCAAGCCGACGGCGAATTGCTATAGCTGCCCAGTGTGGTGCTCGGCAACAGGGTGGGTATCCAGGCCACATTGCTGAAGGCGGATATCTCTGGTGAGTTGATGCGGGCCAGCTCGCTGACGCCGCCCGAGTGGCACAGCGGGCCCACCGAGTCCACACGCCACAAGATCAATTCCGAGCAGAAGCCGGTCGGCGTAAATATATCCTTGTCGCCGTTGGGCGTGCTGCTGCCAGAGGCGCTGCCTGCGCCGCCTGCGCCGCCAGCAGCGGCAGCAGACGCAGTGGAAGAGGCCGCTCCAACGCTGCCGCCAGCGAGTGGGTGCTCGTAGGGCGACATCGGGGACTTGGCCTCCGTGTCGGACAGATTGTGATGCGAGGTGGAGACGAGCAGCGGCAACACCGGATGGCAGGTGATGTCATTCACACGGAAGCGATGTCCCGACGCGCGACTGACATGGCCGATGCTTAATACTTGTGTGAACTTTGTCTTGAAGGCGAACGTCAGCTGCCACAGGTTGAGCGTGCCGTTCGAGTGCTTCGTCACCATCGACACCGATGGCGACACGTTCAGGGGCAGGGCGGAGCCGAGGGCGGCGGCAGCGGCAGCAGCTGCTGAATCCTGTGAGCTGTTGCTGCCAGCAGCACCAGCAGCGCTGCGCTCCCCGCCATCCTCCTGCTGGCCCTGTCCGGCAGCATCGCCATCGTCCTCATCGTCCTGCTGCTCGCGATCCTGCTCCTCGTCGTGCTCGTCATGCTTGTCGAACTGCTGGTTGGAGTTCTGATCGCTACGCAACGAGTTCTGATCGCTGCCGCCCTTGTGGAACTCATCCTTGCTGCGCACATTGTTGGCAATGTCCCGGAAGGCCAGCGGATTGGTGCCCGTGTTGAAGAGACTGACCGTGGTGGACATGGACATGGCGTCGCCCAGTGGAAAGGCCGACGGTATGCGTGTCGAGAACGACACCTGCGCCTGCCTGTACGACCCGGGATAGTAGTCGTCCAGCCACTCGATCACCCATATCAAATAGCTGCCATCGACCGGATGGATGGCGAATAGCAAATCCGGACTCTGATGCCAGTCACGCAGCAGGCACTCAATCTTATTGTCCAGCGAATCGGTCAGCTGTGGCACCTGGTTGTGTTGGTCCTGGTTGAGGGAGTTCTGCGATGTTGTGTTCGACATGGAATTCAAATGCAAACCGGCGCCAGTGGCAGCCGTGTGCTGCGAATACTTGCTGTACTCCTCGCCGCTGTCGTCCACCGAGACGGACTTGGAGTTGCGCATGAATTTCCTGTGCGACTGCTGGGCATCATCGGGCAGATCGACGCCCGAGGAGGCGGCCGCACCAGCTGTATGACTGCCCGCTGCATGTAGGCCGTTCTCCTCGTCGATCACCTTCTTGGTTAGCTCCTGGAGTATGGCCTCCGCTTGGAGTGTGAAATGCATCTCCTTGTTGTTCAGCCAGTGCAATATGAAGACGTTCTGATTGGCCGGATCGGAGGTTTGCATCGACGGCACCAGCGGTATGTCTGTCTCGGCGTTTATCGATGCCGCCAAATGGAAATGCATGCCGGGCGTTACGCCGGATCCCTGAAACCCATACGAATGGAAATCGTGCACGCTGCACGACGAGGGCAACGATGGTATCGGGCCCTGATAGTTGCTAAAGCTGGCCGGTGAGCTGCCCATGACAGCGGCGGCGCCACTACCAGCACCGCCGCCACCAGCACCGCCCACGCCGCTGCCCGAGCTGCCTGGCAACGAGCCAATGCCCTGGCCACCGACCACTGCGGACGCAGTGGCGCCAGCCTTCATGTGGCGACGCAAGTGGAAACAGGTCTTCATGTGCTTCAAGCGCTGCATAAATCGATGCTTGTGCCGGTGCGTGCGAAACTTGGGATTCTGCGAGGCGAGCGGATCGTACTGTGTCATATTGACCATGCCATCGTCCGGCAGCACCGTCTCAATCCAAATGCGACAAATGTTGTCCAGGCACGACGTGACCAGCATATTGGCCACCGAGCCCTTGGGCATATATTTGCTTGTCTTTCTCCACACAATGTTCGAGACGGCGCGCGGATGTGCGATGTACACATATGTGAAATTTAAATCGCCAGCTGAGAGTGCGCCGCCGACACCGGAGCCCGAGGCGACATCGTGCGCCGCCTTCGATGGGAATAGCACCTGCTTATTCTCGTACCAGATCTTGACTAGACGATCGTTGCGGCCGCAGGTGGCAAACAGTGTGCCATCGGGACTAAATGCCATATGGTAAATGGGTATGGCCGTCTGGCAGGACCATATGTTCTCCCACGTGGATACATCATCAGCTTGCGAATTGGACGACGGTTTGGTCTCCTTGCTCTCGCCAATCTCGAACTTGACACCTGCCAGGAGGGGGGGGGCAAAAAAGATTGGCTTAGCTATATTTCCTTCTGCATCGGACTATCGAGATTCTCCACTTACCTGTGTGCTCCTCCTCCTGGTGTGTGGGCGACTTGCTCTTCCAGAGCTGTATATTCGTGCCACCTGTTAGAAGGCGTGTGCCCTCCAAGTTCCACGACAATGTCACCACATTCGAATGGCTGGTAAACGAGCCCGTTTGCACCCATCTGAAAGATCGTTCACCAACGTGCCTCAATCAGCGTCAATCAAAGCTCGTTCTTTTACTTTATTTCTGTACGCACCTGTAGTCTAGAAAGTGTGTATTTTGTTTGACCGACTCAATCACTGGCGTCGGCTCGAAAATGCAAATCTTATTCTCATAGGCAGCCGCTATCTTGCCCGTATCGGTGCTACAGTCGAGGGCCGATATCTTCACATAGCCATGATTGGCGCCCGGTATGATCTGGACGCGTTCGAAAGTGCTCGCTAGAATGACCACATTACAGCCGGCGGCATATGCCTGTTGAGGAAACGAATGAAACGTACGCTTAGTCAATCATGAAATATATCTATATCTTGATTGATTAACCAAATGACAGACTCTGATGTTCATCAATCGTAATGTAATGCTGTATCACCATAGTTACATTTAACTGTTCAAAATATTCAACAGTTTATCTCTTGATTGATAGACTGACTGATTGATTGATTGATTGACTGACTAGATTAGACACGTGTTTGCATCATTTATGATTTCAGCTCATCAATTTATTGTTTCACTTAGATGTAGTAATAAAGACTGATTGATGATTGATTGATTGCTTGATCGGTGTGTACAACATGTCATCATTGCACATATGATCTCATAATGTTAATGTTACATATAGTAATTAACTAATAATAAGCATATTATGCTGATTGATTGATTGATACTTAGATCATTAATTTATAATAAAATTGATATCTTACTAATATAAAATAAATTATAGATTGATTGACGCATAGATCAATATATACAGGCTCATATAGCAACAAAATAAATCTGTTTGTGCTGATTGATGATTGATTAATCGATTTTACCAACTGTTTGGCCACACCTATAAATCATATCTTATCAAGAATTAAACAGCTTGTGATTAGATTATTGCTTAAACAATAATAAATCTGTTTTAGTTCTCTAATTGATGAAAAACAAAACCATTTTCGCTGTCTGATTGGCTGATGGACCGACTTAACTGATTGATAGCGACAATGCATGATTGATATAGACTCTAGAGCTGGAATGACTAAATATCGAAATGGAAAAACCTAAAAACTTATTGTCAATCCACTTAAGAACTTGTCATAAGACATAGCCAGTTGGCTTACTTGAGCTAGAAACTTTTGGCCACTTAAATGAATCAAATAAACAACAATTTGATGACAAATTCTTTTGGGAAAGCAAATGTCACGTGCTAAGCACATAATAGCAAATATAGTATGCATCATTTACCATATCTATAGATTGATTGTAAAGATAACGCACGATTAGATGTGTGTATGCAGAGAGAATCAAGAGCAGGAGGAGGGCACGGGAAAGGGTGAAGGTCGATGGGGCTTAACAAGTGACCGTGGAGGACCAACTTTGAGCTGTGACTCAGAACTGGGACAAGGCTGTTGTAAGGAAGAATGGGTCATCAAGTGATGTAATATATATATATATATATGATGTGTATACTACATAGTATATATTGATATATTCGCATACAGGTACAACATCTGTGTTACCCATTAAACTATAATAATTGAGGCGATAAATGGCTATGACCAAAAAAAAAACAACAAATGTTAAGAATTCATTTGAATAGTCATCAAATTCGTATGGATGCAAATTAAAATTGAAATTCCGGCACAAAGCTAATTTAGACCAATTTGGTTTCATACCGGATTGTACAGGAAAGGTTTCGCTTTTCGATATCATAAAAACAAAGTTGAGAAAAGTTAAATTAAATCGTTGGCCTTGTATAAGAGTCGCTTAAATTTCGGACAGCAGCAGTTATGTTCGTTCTTCCTTATCTCTATTGCTTTCTTTTTATATTTGTTTCTTGTTCTAGTTGGGTTTAGTTTTAGCTACTTCCCCCACGCCCCACCTCGCCCCTCTGGTGGTATGTGTTTCATTATCTTAAGTAGGAGCCAAAGCAAGATATGGTTGCGGATATTTTCTTGCGTCAAGGCCAGCAAGGCTCAATGCTATAAAACTTGTGCCGCCCACTGCCAGATGGCGCCACAGTATAAGACAAATATACGTGTGCGTGCGTGTGTGTGTGTGTGTGTCTGCCCATTTTTCAAGTTCAGCTATGCCTCTTCTTGTTTCTTTATATTAATAGTTGGTGCACACACACACATGAATATTATAAAAATACAATTGAAATGATGGCATTTACATACATAGTTAAATGAATGGGTGGCAATGTCAACAGCAGCGGCGACGGCTCGCAGCTCATTACAGAATATAATGCAGATGTGTACACACTGTAGGCATACAGACACACACACATACATACATACACACAGTCATGTGCAGCTGTTGGCAATTTCAAATTAATTCTTTCCTTTTTTTCGCAAAAACAATAAATAATATGAATAAGAATAGTGTGTGTGCGGGCAGAAGGGGCAGTGTTGCCATATTTATTTCTACATATTTATTATTTAACTATTCAAGTTAATTATGATTGCGACTTCTAAATTACAAAAACAAAATATGCATAAGAGAAACGAAGAGGAAAACAGATCTCAGGCGCTGGCGGTAAACAAATAAGCGCAAACAGCGCCTCTGTATGGGTGGGAAGGGGTTACCGTTAGTAATTAATATTTGATATGTATGTATGTATGCTTATTTGTATGTATATAATAATACACACACGATCATAAAAATAAACGACTCCAGCTACAGTCGCCACATTATAAATGCGTGCTCACGACAAAACACACAAAATAATAATAAAAAAAAAAACACAAAACCCAAAAAGCAAAAAAAAAAAAACGATAAACGAAAAACGAATTTTTGCAGCATTTATGGGCCGTGTATAATTTATTTGTTATTGACGTTTTGATTGTCTGACAATATTTAGCGAGGATTGCATTTACAGGCTGCAGGGCAGCACACACCCATACATACATATGATATATTGATGTGCCTAGTTGTCTGTATGTTTAACGAATTTAGGGCATCAGAGGCCATTTGACCAATCGAATTTTACATATACAAATATATATATGTATATACGCACAAGCTGCGTGTGCATGCCTTCGTGTTCGTGTATGCATATGTGTATGAGTGCGTAAGGCAACGTGAGAGGCTTGTTTACAGCCAAAGCACTTGACCTTTAAATGTAATTAAAAGCCAGAAAACATGTTAATACATTGATTTCAAATTGGAATACCGTGAAAAATTGTTTGTTTGCAGTATTTATCGAGAAAAAAGAAAGAAAAAAAGCAGCACACACGCAAGCATTCAGCGAAGCCAACAACAATAACAGCTGAAACAGTTAACAGTTGTTATCGAATTTACACGAAATGAAAAAAAAACACATTTGCTTTGGATTTAATTGACCACAGCCAGACAAACGACGGACGGATAGACGGCGACAGCCAGTGACAGCCAAGCATCATATTTATTTATATGTACTCGCACACACACACACACAGGAACGCACAAAGCCTGTGTATACAGCGTGCATGTGTAAATAAAAACATTAAAATCCCCTTTGGGCCGATCGAAATTGGATATTCCAATTGGAATTCGCAAAACGGCAGCCGAGTTGGAAAATGTGGTACACACAATAGTTGTACCCTTAAGTACCTAACGTATATATATGTATATACAAAAATTAATATATATATATATACTACATATGACTGTCGCGCACGTACATATGTAGGTGTTTGCATATCTGTGCATGTGTGTGTGTGTTTGCAGGTTGTACAATATGATGGATGCGTGATAAAAACGAAAACGAACAGCAAAAAAATAATGAGAAAAAACTTGGTAATCGTAATCGCTCGTATTCTTACTGTAAATGGTATGCCTTCCACGGAGCCAATGGCGAAGCACCGGTCACCTGCATTGCAGGCACCGCTCAATATTTGATGACAATTCATTATTTGTTACAATTGGATATCACATCACAGCGCACAAAGTAATATTCTTGGTTCTTTGGTTTGGTTACTAGCACGAATTTTTCTTTGTAAAACGACAACAAAGTGATGAGTGACATTACATAAAAATGTAGGCCAAATAGTGATGGACGCTATCGACTAGTGTAGTATCGAACGGTGTTAGTGTCTAACTGTCGTATCGATACGTACACAACAAGTTATGGGGTTCTAAACAAAATACCTTATCGATATCAAATATTTGCTAGCATATTTGACATACTTTTCTATCGATATATTGAAATATCGCCAACTTATTTGCAACACTGTGACAATCCAAACGCCGTGTATGGTTTGACTGCTTGCATGGAGTTAGAAATTGTAAAATCGTATTCATTGGTTTTGTATTAGTTTAGCATATATTCCAATAGCAAAATGGCCGCTGGTCCAATTGCTGAACGTAACCAAGGTAAGCAATCGCTACACATATACATTTACTTGTTAAACTCAACATTATCGCACACCTCTAAAATAGATGCCACCATTTATGCCGGCGGTCTGGACGACAAAGTTTCGGAGACGTTGCTGTGGGAGCTCTTCGTCCAAGCCGGTCCAGTTGGTAAGTTAAACTGATTAGGCAGCATTCCGTTTGATATAACTGTTGTATCTCGCAGTCAACGTGCACATGCCCAAGGATCGTGTCACTCAGATGCATCAGGGATACGGATTTGTTGAGTTCCTAAGTGAAGAGGACGCTGATTATGCGATCAAAATCATGAACATGATTAAGCTGTATGGCAAGCCTATACGTGTTAACAAGGCGTCAGCACATCAAAAGAATCTCGACGTTGGCGCCAATATATTTATTGGTAATCTGGACGTCGAGGTGGATGAGAAGCTGCTCTACGATACCTTCTCCGCATTTGGAGTCATCTTGCAAACGCCAAAGATTATGCGTGACCCAGAGACGGGCAAATCCAAAGGGTTCGCCTTCATCAACTTTGCCAGCTTCGAGGCTAGCGATGCTGCCATGGATGCCATGAACGGACAATATCTGTGCAATCGCCCCATCTCTGTTTCATATGCCTTCAAGAAGGATCACAAGGGCGAACGCCACGGCTCGGCAGCTGAACGTTTGCTGGCCGCCCAGAATCCCTCGGCGCATGCGGATCGGCCACATCAACTGTTTGCCGATGCGCCCGTACAGAATATGATGCCAGTTATGCCTGGCCAGATGATGCCGCCACCAATGATGGCACCGCCGCCACCAGTGGTGCCCGTGTCGGCCACCAATATGGGCATGATAGCACCACCGCCGCCGGTGCCGCAACCGACACCGTTCCCAGCTACCATACCACCGCCACCGCTACCGCCGATGGGCGGTGGGCAGCCGCCACTACCTCCCTCCATGGGCATACCGCCGCCGCCACGCATGCTCCAGCCTCCAAATGCCTGGGCACCACCCGGCATGCCAGCACCGCCGCCACGTCCGCCGCCAACAAATTGGCGTCCGCCGCCTGTGCCCTTTGCGCCGGCTCAGTTCTCTCGTCCCTATCAACCCGATGGCTACCAGTACTAGGTCATCCCACTATTGTATAGCCTTAGTTCGTAGTTATACAATTTTTAAGACGACCCAATAAAACCGACAACAAATTTTTATAATAACACCAAGAACACCAAATGCGATATTTGATTTATATAACTTGATGGCTTAAACGAAATCCAGAGCTTTGGGTGTAAATAATTTGATAGTTTCTGATTTAGCAGGGAAAGAGAGGAGAAGAGATAGAGAGACGGTGAGATGGATCTTACCTATGGCTACCAATATCTAAGATACAATGGTTAGAAAGAGGGGAAAGATGTCAGAGAGAGAGAGAGGAAGATATCCGTAATTAACTGAAATATCTATATAACTTGAATATCAGTTCCTAGTCTCTAAATAGAGATAGAGACAGAGAAAGAGAGAGAGAGAGAGAGAGAGATTCGTATCCGTATCCATCCATTAGCCAAAATATGTACAATATTGTAGAGGACCTTATATCATGTCCTAATTGATATACTATAACAAAGCAGACAGAGGGAGAGAAAGAGAACTCATTATTTTCTTAGTTTCTTTTCTTTTTTGATGAATTATTTTATTTGTAACATTTTGAATAAAGAACAAACAATTTACCCCATATCCGAGACTTGGTAGATCACAGCTTAACTGCAGATCAAAGCCGATCGGATAGGATCGAATCATATAGTACAATATTTATAATATCGATTTACTATATCGATATAGCACATACAACATTTATAGCATTAATAATATAATATATCAATTTTCCTTCTTCATTTCTTTTCTTTTTTTAATAATATTGTCACCGAAAAATGTTCACAAGTTTTTTGTTTACTCAAAATAGTTGTCCAAAAAGTTATTTCAAAATGAATAAATACATTTATTAATAATTAACATTAACATTTATAAATAAATCTTTGTTTTTTTTTTTTTTTTTTATATTTTATTTGGATAATGCAAAAAGCGAATCAAATGCCAAATGCAAATATTTGTGGAACAGCGCAAAACCCGATTTCGATTTGGAACAGATGCGTATAATATACACACACATCGGATTTATATATATATATAGAAATATGTGCATATATGTATTTACATTTGCCTTAATTATAATTAAATCAGCATTAGCGAATTTCATTAGCTAACTATAACATTGGATCTGACAAATCCGGCAATTAATTACAATTAAATATATAGTTATATATACATATATATCAAGAAATATATATATATATATAGACAAAATTTAGACCGTTGTCTGCACGTTTTGCACGGCCTTGGAGAGCTCCACCTTGGAAGGTATTAAATAAAATGCGGGCGTCATCGTCTCGCCGCAAGGACACTGGCAGGCTGCAAATACAATAGATATATTAATCAATCAAAACAGTATATGGTAAGATTATAAGATATTTGTATAAGAGTTTTGTCTCCAACAATTCGTAATCAAACAGATTATAAGACACTATATTATAAGACAGCTCTATAACTTAAGTCTTATACCCTTCTTATGCGTACACATGTTATACGAAAAGTATAAGACATTATATAAGGAAAGGCCTTAGCGCAGCGAAGCTTTTGCCGATGAATCAAGCTGAGTATAAGAATTCACCCAGCCAGGGCTATAAGAAATAAATATAAGAGCTGTCTCTACAAATATTAATCTCTCTCTCTCTATCTCTTTTACAATGCTTCGAGCTACATTTGTGTATGGATTGGCAATATATGAGATAGATACATAAGTCAGGTATATATATAAAAGTCCGTGCACCCACCATTCACCCAGCTAAAGTTGCCAACCTTCTGCTCGCACTTGGGACAGTAGAGCCGACCCTGGGTGTTGAGCATGATGCGGTGCATCCAGGCGATGGGCTCCACAAATAATAAACTGCGGCAATTGTTGTTGCCGGAGCCAGAGACAGCGGCGGCGGCAGCAGCGGCAGTGACGAGGTTCTCGTGACTAGGCGATCCGAGCGAAGCTTTCCGTATGCGCTCCGCCAGCTGATCGAGCAGACGTGGCTCCGAGGCCGATCCAGTGGCTCCTGCAAGCTGTTTTTGCTGCTGCTGCTGCTGCTGCTGTTGCCCTTGCTCTTGATCCCGTTCCTGCTCCTGTTCCTGGTGCTGTGGTGTGCCACGAGGCCGATGCTCCAACACATGCGACTTGGAGGCGAGCACGCGTCGACAGCGACGACAACGAAAGACAATTGGTTCAGGATTCTCGCGTGTGATATCCGGATCGGGACGCACCACATTATGGAAGCTCTGTGGCAAGATCTTAGCCTTGCGCATTTGTTCACCAGCAAGACGCAATCGATGCATCTTGTAGCGCTGATAGTTGGGATCTATTTTATAGCCCATGCGACGGAAGAGCTTCAGCTGGGCAACAAAGCCCGCATTGGGCTGCACAAAGCGACGCTTGGCCAAGACCAGCTCATACGCTGCCTGATAGTCCAGCCCATGACGTTTCATTATGTAGGCAATTACAGCCGACGAGCTGCGACTGACGCCAAAGTAGCTAAGGAATATACATAGATATACATATAAGAGAAGTTGCTCACTATATATAAATATGTCTGTTATCTATACCAGTGGACGAGCACGTTCTGCTGCTGCTCCAAGGCTTGGGATATGAACTCCACGCAAGCCTCTAGATGTTGCAAGATATCTTCGCGTGGCATGTCCGAGACTACAATGAATCAAATAGACAATTAACACTCCTCTAGGGCATGCATATGGGGTATATCTAACTCTCACATACTCTGCACGTATTTGGTTGTCAGGAAGCTCGCCTCCACAATATGCTGCGGCAGTGGCACCGAGTCCAGCGTCAATATGTGCGTTATCTTAAAGGATTTCAGCGTCTCCATGTGCGTAGCTGCCGTCAAATTGCCTGCAATAAGAATAAGAATACAATTAATGGACATGATGTATTTATAACATACGTATATAAATATAGCTATATATGAATATATATCTGGCCAGTTGATTACTGCTGACTTACCCAGAAAGAGACCCGGTTCGATTTCATCTATGCTAACGGGTCCGCCATTGAAGTCCTGGCGCGTTAATGTGCCACAGTCCTGTCGCTTGCCATGCGCTGTCGTCGCGGCCTCCATGCTGCACGCTCAAGGACAGCAGCACGCTGCAACGACGAACGACCAAAAACGGCAACAGCAACAGCAACGGCAACTGTTGCGCTTAACGGTTGTGAAATGGCGCTCACAGTGTTGCCACTGGCAGCTGCATGGCGATTGGAGCAGTTTTTTTTCCTTCTTGTTGCACTAATTACCGCTCCTCGATTAATGGCAGCTCCTCACACGCCGCGCCCGCAGCAATTGAAATGGCATTGCGCTGTTGCTGCCTTCTGCTTTTGCTGCTGCTTCTGCTTCTGCTTCTGCTCGAGTAGCGCAAAATCTCATGCTGCCCTGATCCGCAGCATAACGAGGGCCACCAGACAGCGCCAATTTATGCGCAACTCTGCTGGCTCGCTCTGCGCATGACGTCACAAATACATGCAAGTGCCAGAGGCAGCAAGTAATTAATTATGTATGATAATATCGATAGGTATAGTATGCAAATATTGTATAATAATTTTTGAAGAGCCATCATTTGACAGAGAAATTAGTGACTTTCTTGCAGTGCACAACAGCTGTGACGTCATGCTTATGAATGACATACAACACACCTGTACAATGCATTACCATGTGTTCTAATTCTAGTGTTCAAAGAAATATCGATATCCAATGAAAGCGATGTACCATAAGACGACCGAAGAATTGCTATCCAGCTGGAATACTCTTGTACCATAGCCATTAAATGGCTAAAACATACAGGAGCTATATAAATTTTTTGTTTCAGCTTAGTTACGTATGCCTATTCAATGTGAATGACAAACTAAATAAACAAAGTAGTTTCAGTTTATACCCAGCAGTTTTATTTTCATAACTCATCAAATATTCACATTTTTATATCTATATAGTAAATAGTTTAGCTTATAAAACCCCGATCAGTTGGAGGGAGCCAAATGTGTAACACTGATACACTATCGATAGCCGGCAAATTGTTCACCTAGTATAATCGATAGACAATAACCCACCAAATAATATAGAATATATATAGACAGCTCCGAATCAAACACAAAATAGACTAATTTATTACAAAACTATTAACTATGACTACGCTGCGACCATTTACCTGTGATGATCTATTCAAATACAATAATGTGTAAGTAAGCAAGTGTATGCATAAGAGCGTCAAGATATATATGGTCTATTTCAGGAATTTCGATCCGCTGACAGAAACATACGGTCTCTCATTTTATACACAATATTTGGCCAAATGGCCGGAATACTTTCAGCTAGCTGAATCGCCCAGTGGACACATAATGGGTTATAGTAAGTACACGTTAATATGGACTACCAATCTGTTATATCCAAATGGCTTACAGTTATGGGCAAGGTTGAGGGACATATGGACAATTGGCATGGACATGTAACGGCCCTAACCGTTTCGCCCGATTACCGGCGATTGGGTCTGGCAGGGCTGCTAATGAATTTTCTAGAGGATATATCAGAGAAGTAAGAATATACTTACACATACATAAACTTGGCTATATCTAAATTTGGCTATATTCCTGCAGAAAACGCGCCTACTTCGTGGATCTTTTTGTGCGTAAAAGCAATAAAGTGGCCATAAATATGTATACAAATTTAGGCTATATTATATACCGTACGATACTAGAGTATTACTCGGGTGATCAGGATGAGGATGCGTATGGCAAGTCCTTTGAATTCAAATAATTGAAAGATCCACTGGCTGATTTCTTAATTTGATTTGGTTTGATCTTCTTGCTTGCAGATATGCGAAAAGCACTGTCGCGAGATGTGTATAAGAAATCGGTTATACCTTATACGCAACCTGTACGATTGGAAGATATAGATATGAATTGATATCCACCCACTGCCCGCATTCGCATTTATGTTTAACTCTTATACTGATTCATCGATCAATTGCATTTCGCCTACAAATTTCTAGTTCAACAATGACAACTAATAGAAAATCAAACAAATTGTATCTAATCTGAAGTTATAAGTCCCCACAAAACAATTTGCTAACTATCCAAAATGAAAAACAAAAACAAAAAGCAAACCTCAAAATTGAAACTCCCCAAAAATTCCCAGTTGGATTACAACACATTTTGCAATCCATAATTGTGTCAATAATATTCCTTAAACGCATATATATACATAATTTTACATGATTTTGTTATCAGTAAATAAGACTTCTTAATGCCGATTACATAACTATTACAAAACGAATGTTCTCACTGAAACTTCAAGGTAAATAATATTGTTTGTCCTTTACGAATTGTATCTAACCTTATATCATTATCTACATATCTATCTATTCCAAGTATTCTAATCTGATCAATGAAAACTTTTTGTCAATCAATCAATTCTTGCAGATGACAATGCGTGAGCTGCGCCACCAAATGCGGCATGAGGCCAAATGCGAATAACGGAACATTTTCTCCACTTGCAAGAGAAGGAAGCCAATTAATTTTTAAAAATCATTTTTTTATTATCAATATCAATTTATAGGTCAAACTTATCAAATTTTTAGTTTCTCAATATGCAATCTTTTAAAATACCGTATTTATACATATGTGTGCAAATTCATTTTTGAAACAAACAAACAAAAAATTAGAAAAAAACGCAATTCTCTTTTCCCTTTAGAACGCTGCCAATTTTCTGATTGGTTCTATAGCTATTTCGCTCTAGCAAATTGCCGTTAGACAAGCCCTTGTGATTCCCAACCAATTCATAGGTATTGACAAAAATATAAATTGAGATTTTCGCTTTGTGAGCGCTGCTAATGACGGTAGTTACCATACATATTAAATTTAAAACGAAAATAGTGCAGAAATAATGCAGCCAAGGTCAAAACGAGCAGCTAACTTATTCATAATGTAGCAAAGAAAATGACTTGAAGTTTTGGGCTAATGGAACTAAAATAACGGGTTTTCATAACCGTTTCAAGCGTTGCAGGTGCCTAAACCCGAATAAAGGAAATTATTTGTTAGTGCGCAGCAGGTAAATAAATATCCCTGTGCAGAATGTGTGTGTGCGTGAATGCGTAACCTAACGGTTCAGCAACTGAAGCTCATAGAAGAGGAAGCACAAATGAAGATGAATGCATGCAAAAGTACTTAATAAATACACCCATATGTACATATGTTTGTGTTTGAATGTAAGTTAGTACGAATAAAAAACTATATGAGAAAATATGCTGTACGTAAAGCCATATGTATTTTACATATATACAGGCATATGGTATGTACATGAACTCAGGTATTAAACACATTTCTATGTACGCAGAGCCATTTGTACTTGGCTCTGGATCTAAACAAATTTTCAATCCCAATATATTCGCCGCTTCGGCCACAGTACGAAGAGCGGCGGACAGCAACAGTGGATTGCCTTCTCTCCTTGTCGCGTGTGTCACGCTCTAGCTGTGCATGTGTATCTGCGTTTGTGCGTGTGTGCCTGTGCCAGCGTATGAGTGTGTATCTGTGTATGTGTTCTGTATCTGCCGCTTTTACGTCTGAAGCAGAAATCCAGCTTGCTGTTTGCTATTGTAGGGTATCTTTGGCGCAACGAAGCAGCCGACCATTTGTCTTCTCATCTAATTATCATTAATAATTTTGCGGTACGAAAATCTGGGCATGACACAGCCACATTCAGATTCAGTGTGAGATTAAGACTCGGTTTTTAGCCTCATATTCACATTTCATGCATGTAAAACTCGTTTCAAGTTGAATTTTTGTTCGCAGTGTGGCAACGCTGCGCCCCACAACACAGCAAAAGCAGCAGCAGCAACAACGCTGAACATGACGGATACTGATGTGCCATTGTATGCGTGCGTGTGTATGTGTGTGTGCGAGAAACCGAACATAGGGTAAAAATAAGCGAACCACAAACAGTCAACAGCTACAGAGCTAAATTGCAGCTGCTATACGCGTCGCCGACGACGAATAGGGTAAGTAAAAACAGGCAACAGCAACAACAACAACGAACCAGGCGGCAAAGCACAAATGACGATAAAGCCGAGGCAAAGACATAGATGGTAAAACGAACGAATGCGAACACGAACGTTACAGAAACAACAACAACGGCATCAGCGACGAACGTACATACAGTGTCGAGCGTATGTATGAATGCAAGCATACGAAGCGATAAACCGCCAGGGGCGTTGCGAACAGGGTTCAGCAATATTTGTACACATTGATGGATGTTCGGATGAGTGTACGAATCGTACATAAATTGCGCACTCATGTCAGAAAGTAATTATTTGTGCTGCTGCTGGTGCTGCTTGCGTCGTTGTTATTGTTCTGAATAGCATTTGGCATTTGGCATTCGGCAATGGTTGCAACAACCCCTATAAATGGTGGCTGCGACGCCGCTGTCGCTACCGCTTGTAGCGAACAGCGAGCGACAAGCACTGAATACGAATGAACGTTCGAAAGTGGAAACGACGATAAAGCGGTGCGCACACAGTCGTGCGGCAACGAGGGGTGAGCCGTCGCTGCTGCTGCTGCTGCTGCTGCTCTTGCTGTTGCTGTTGCTGCCACTGGCCACTGGCAACTGGCAATTGAAAGACACACAACTTCAGTTCCACTCATAGTCATTCGGGGCGAGTCAGAGATAAGGCGCTCCTGCAGTTCGGAGTAGTGTTCTAGCGCGCACGCACACAGCTGCATCCTTGTTTGTTTTTTTCTTTCTGTTTTTTTGTTTTTTCGTTAAATTTCTTTTTTCGTGCTCGTGCAGCCCCTGCTCGGCGACGCCACTGGCATTCAAGGCAGAGGCAGCGACTACTGCTAGCTTTATAGCTGGCTGGCTCTGGCACTGGCTGTTTTGCTGACTGCCTCGCTGTGGACAGAACGAAAGACAGGCGGCAACTAAAGCGGCGGTCGCAAACGAAATTTGTTTAATATTAAATACAAATACAAGAATAACAACAACAAGAAGAACAGCAGAAGCAGCAGTATCGACGACGCTCGACGTACTAGAAACAACTATAATAATAAGAATAACATACATAAAATAAAATACAAAATAACGGCAAATCAAAAAGAAACGAAGACGACTAAAAACGGCGGTAGCGGAGCACACAGGCTATACGAAACGTTTTTGAAAAACGCCAAAAGGTAAGCAAGCACAAGCAGCTGCACTCGCATACGACTTGACGAATATTCGCGTTCGCGTCCGCATTCGCATTCGCAATTCGAAATTCGCAAATCGCATTTGGGTGGCCTCCTCTAGGCACTGGGCAACCCGTGTCTGCGACTTTGACAAACAGCTCTCAAACAGAAACTGCAGCTGAATGATGTTATGTTTTAGTTGTTAGTTGTGCGCAAATACAGAAATGTACAATATATTTTAAATTCGTATCGCGCTTCGTATTATTTCCCATTTTTATTCTCATCTTTTCCAAAACACAATATATATACATATATATGTATATATATATATGAAAAGAAATTTCGTTGCCTCGTTTCGCTTTAATGGTGGTAGTGTGTGTGCGAGCGTGCCTGTTAGTGTATGCGTGAGTCGCTATAAGTATATATAATATATTATATATATATAAATGTGTATGTGTGTACAAGCGAGTTGTTTGCATGTGTGAGTGTGTGTGTGCATGCTTGTTTTTGAATGTGTGCGTGCGAAAGACCGACAACGACGTCGACGACGACCAGTAAAAAGAACCCGACTGACTGTTGGTGTGGACTGCGACTGCTGCGGAGAGTAAAATTCGATTTGCTGTGCCCTGAAAAATTGCAAATTGCAAACGAAATGTGATTATCGGTATTGAAAAATTCTGCTGACAAATTGTCAAAAGAAAAAATCACAAAAAAACAACAAATTGAATAAAAATAAATGATAAACGGACAGTGAATAATAATTGTAAATTATAAATCGGCAATTATTTAACGGTGCATGCAAACAGCATACGGCAACGCTGTCAATTTTTTTCTTTTATTTGTATTTTTTCATTTTTCTTGCTGTGAATGTTTTTAACTGTAATGCTAATTTGTGTGTCGCTTGTTTTTCGCGTTGCCTGCTATATCCATCTTCTTCTTCTTTATTTTCATGCCAACGTTTCGCCGGCAACAACAACAACAACAACTATAACAACAACTGCTGTGACGGCTACATCAATAACAACAACAACAACAATCAAATCAAATCAAATCAAATTGAAATTGTATCGATAACGATAGTAGCCGTAGGCTTATCGATAGACATACTGAAGAGGCAAAGAGAACGTCCCATACAATCTCTAACACATACACTCACACACATACACACAGATACACAAACACATACATATACAAAGTACATTAACGTATACAATTCAAGATTAATCGATAAACGATCAACAAGAAGAAGAACAACAACAGAAAAATGTCAAACGGCAAGGCGACGGCTTCGTTCTTTGAGAACGGAAGCACCAGACAGTTTGAATACTGCTACGAACTGTATCCGCAGGTGCTAAAGATTAAAGCCGAAAAGCGCAGCAAGAAGCCACAAGAGCTAATCCGCTTGGATCAATGGTATCAGAATGAACTGCCCGGCTTGATAAAGGCGCGAGGGAAAGATGCCCACTTGGTATACGATGAACTTGTTCAGGCCATGAAATGGAAACAGTCTAGGGGTAAATTCTATCCGCAACTGTCATATTTGGTCAAGGTGAATACGCCGCGTGCAGTAATCCAGGAGACAAAGAAGGCCTTTCGCAAGCTACCCAATCTGGAGCAGGCGATCACAGCGTTATCCAACCTCAAAGGCGTGGGCACCACAATGGCATCCGCCCTGCTAACAGCCGCCGCCCCCGACTCAGCCCCATTCATGGCCGACGAATGCCTGATGGCCATACCAGAGATCGAGGGCATTGATTATACGACCAAGGAGTACCTCAACTTTGTGCAGCACATTCAGGCCACAGTGGAGCGACTGAATGCGGAGGTTGGCGGCGATACGCCGCACTGGTCACCGCATCGCGTCGAGCTAGCGCTCTGGGCGCACTATGTAGCCAACGACCTCAGTCCCGAGCTGCTCGACGATATGCCCTCGCCGACAGCAACACCTAACACAAACGGTAGCCTGAGCAAGGCGAGCAAGGTGCTCGATGGCGAGGACACCAACGATGGCGTCGCTGTCGATGTGGATGAGGACGAGAGCCTCGGCGCAGGTGAGATCAATGAGCTAGAGAAGAGAGAGAAAGCATATTCCATTTTATATATAGATTCATGATCAATTGAATGATCTAATTAGATGTGAAACTTGGCTTAGCAACAGATTGATAGAAATATCGATAGGTCGATAGTTGCTTAGTTTTCAATTTGTATACTTACATATTTGAAGTTTGCATTCATATTCTGTGTACTAATCGAATCATCTTTTGCTTCATTGAAATCCAGGTGGCCGGAATACGGCAACAGAATCGGAGACAGAGAACGAAAACACCAATCCGACATCGTTGACGCCGCTGGGCAATGCGAGTGGTGGCGTTGGTAGTGGTAGTGGCAAGAGCAACATTAACAGCAGCAACAACAACAACAATAGCAACAACAACAACACTGCCGCCTTGCAGGATGGCGACTCAAACTTTGTGTCGAACGATTCCACCTCGCAGGAGCCGAACATTGATGACAACACCACACAGACAACGGCCACAACCACATCGACGGAGGACGGTGAGCCGATGGGCGTGGCAACGCCACTGGCCTCCGACTCGGAAAGCAATCTCGAGGCACCGCTCAAGAGTCGCTTGGCCGCCGTTGGAGTTTGTGTTGGGGCAGGAGTAGGAGCAGGAACAGGAGCAGCTGTAGCTGGAGCAGGCACAGTGGCAGGAGCAGGAGCAGCTGTTGCCCAATCGCACAACAACAACAAGCAGATCAATAACAACGGACAAAGCGCTGCACAATCAGCAGCAGCCGCAGCAGCAGCAGCAACAGAAGGATTGGGTGGACCAGCAGCACCAGCGGCCGTGCCAGCCGCTTCAACAGCAGCCAATAGTAATGGCAATGGCAATGGCAATGGCGTGCTCTCGCTTGGTGGCAGTGCGTCAGCAGCGAATCAAGTTGATGATGATGATGAGGAGGAGGACGAGGATGAGGATGAGGATGAGGTGGACGAGGAGGAGGATGAGGATGAAGTGGACGATGAGCTAGAGGCTGATGAGAGTAACAGCAATGGCAGCAGCAATTTGCGTGCCAGCAAACTGCAGCATTTGGCTGCAGCTGCGGCTGCGGCGACAGAAGCGACAACGCTAACAGCGCCATCTATTGGACAAAAGCGTACGGCGCTGCATTGCGAATTGGACGCTTCTGCTGCAACTGCAACTGCGGCTGCTGGTGAGAAATCGCCAGAGTTGAAAAAGCTGCGCAGCGACTGAGCTACATGCAGTGCAGCGCCGCAGCCGTCGCTAAGTAGCATCGTTAGGCCGCGTATATCTGGTGGAAAGACATGTATGTAGTGCAGTTGAGTCGACATTTGAGAGCAACATTACCTACACTTTGCCACAACAACATTCAAGAAATTTTACTATTAAGCAAAACTAATTATACATATAATATATAATATATATATACAACAAAGAGAAAGAACACACACAAACAAACACATATAACAAAAAGCAGCACACACACACACACAACGAGAACATAAAAGGAGATCGAGAAGCAGCACAGCAGCAGCACTTAACATAGGCTTAACAGGCAAAAATATAGAATGAGAAGAACAAGGAGAAGAACCCCACAACAGAGAGAACATAACACACCACACCACACCGCAACACACCACACTCACATTAAATTAGGAACATAGTGCGGGCGCGTATTAAATGAAGTTTAAGTTGAGCTCGAGGATAAAACCGAGTAATGTTGGATGATGATATGATGATGATGATGATGATGATGATAATATGATATAAAGAGTAATAGCCATACGGAGTCCCCAATTGCAGCAGCGATTAACATTATACATGTGAAGTGAAAACGATAAGCAAATACATAGTAACTATTAAATCAGATACAAATTGATATTTTTACACAGTCAAATGAAACCAACATTTAAATATTAAACGAAAAAAGAAAACAAAACAAAAGATAAAAATTTACAAATGCCGCAGTTGCCCACTACATACAAGAAACGGAAGAAAAAAACAATAATTATAATAAAAAGTAATTTATATAAGTATTTAAAATTAACAATAAATCAAAAAGAACTTGTCGCATAAAACTCGAAACATCGTCCCCCGATTGATCGCCGCCTTCCTCCTTGACCACCACTACAACATATATACACACGCGCTCCATATCTCTTTTTCACCCAACCACCTATCCATACACGCTCACCAAAACTCACCAACCTCATGCACAAGCATACATCTACACACATACACATCCCAATCCAAGCGGACGACGCCGCTATCGACGTCGATTAAGCAAAAACAAAAACAAGAAAAAAATACAAAAACTCATTTAAAACAATGCGAAATTTTTGTGGTCGTATTTGTAATAATATAATTTTTAATTTATGTGTACAACTTACTTTTTTTTTTTAATACTATATATAATACTGAATTTTTTATAATTTATACGATAATATTTTTTCAATTGATTTAAAGAAAAGAAAAAACTAAATTTAAATTAATTTTGGAATCGATCTACCTTTATCTGTTGGGCTGAAACATCATTATACGATACTTTTTTCAGCTTTTGCTATTTTCAATTGGTATCGAAATCGAATCAATTGTCAGAACACCATCTTTCAAAATTATAATAATTTTAATTGATATAGCATAAGTTCAAAATAAATTGTGAAAAATATTATGAGTACAACCGAGCCAGATGCAAACCAATGAAACCTCCTTAAAGTACCTGTCGAATCAATTTCTCAATTTTTATAGTTACAAATTGTGAGAATTCGCAAATACTTTTTGAATATTGTACACAAGCGCGTTAAATCGTGCTATCGACTAGCCGCCACTTTTGGGCGGTTATTTTCTGCTACGATTGAGGTGCATGTAGCTTACCTCAAGCATTTATTGTGTTTTGGTATGCAACAGGAAAAACGCAGCATAATTTTAAATATTGTAAAATTCTGCGATAATAATAAAACAAAAACAAGTGCTGCATTAATCGAGTATTTTTGCACACCCTGGGCATATGCTACAAAAAATACTGCAGTAAACATATCGATAGTAATGATGTGCTATATTTGAAATATCGCTCGAGAATAAGAATATCGATAGGCCTACAACCCTATTTTTAGTATTTTGTTATTTATTTATTAAAATAAGAAAAGGAGTATATAAAAAAAACCTGTGTCATCTGTGTGCTGTTGCGCTGTGCCGCACAATGTTTAGCAGATGTCATAATCGCAGCTATATGCTGTGAATATGCAACACACACGGCAAAAATACCCTCCAATACAATATTAACTAGCTGCCGTGCACACAAACATACACACACCCATACACACAAACATAGAAACCTTTGGACGCCACGGTTTAGCAGCAGGCGAGCAGGACGGAAAACCAGAGATTAGAGTGTCGACACGACGCCATGCTCCTGGTGCGTCAGCTGTTTGGCTCATCATCCAATTCGTGGGTGCGCGCCCTCATCATCTTTGTGCTCGCCTGGGCGGTGCTCGTCTATGTGTTTGTGCTGAAGCTAACCAATAGTCAGGCCCAGAATCAAAGCCATCAAACAATCTCTGCCAGTGATAATGAGCACAATGCGCGGCGCATCAATCAGGCGCTGCAGCTGCTGGAGCACACGGAGCGGCGCAACGAGGAGCTTAAACTGCTCATCGATGAGCTGATGAGGTATGTATGTAGCGGCCATCAACAATAGGAACAATAACTTCATGAGCATCATTAGCATTATCTGCCACAAGTAGACCTAAAGCTGCAGCGCCCACTCCCCACTGCTCCACTCCCCCATCTAACTCATTCCAGCCTGTTCTAATCCGCTCCAAGTGCGCCCCATTAATGCGACCTTTCATATGTAAAGCGAGCAAATGAACTTCTCGTTTCGGCTAGCCGAACTGTGAATACCCTTGCAGGCATTGCATATGTAGCTCTACTGGGCGTATAGACACATATGTATATATTATAATCCTATACAGATTCAGTAGCCTTCCGATACACTTGCTCAATTATATATATATTTATAGCTATATATTCATACGTCTGCCATATACTCGTGTCATGTGTTGTCGATATGCTCGCTGCAAGGGTATGCAATCAATGCTCGGTCACGCTTGCACACGTCGGCGTTGAAGAATGACGAATGACAAATCACCACGCACAACCTGGGTCTCTCTGCGTGTGTGTGTGTGTCGGTGTGTGCGTGTAATGGTGTGTTGTTATCTTCTGTTGTTGTTGTTTTTACAGCGAACAGCTGGATAAGCAGAGCGCCATGAAGCTCATCCAAAGGCTGGAAAATGATTCGCACAATGCAAAGCAATCAATGGGCGATGATACGCTCTTCGAGGTGATTCCAGCCGATGCCGCTGGACAGGATCAACAGCATCAGCAGCAACAGCCGCAGCCACAGCCGCAGCAATTGGGCGCAGATGCTGCCGGCCAGCTGCCTGGCCAGCCGGGCATTGAGCCCAGCTTGGAGTACGAGTTGACGCGGCGACGCATCCAAACGAATATCGCCGAGATTTGGAACTACTTCAGCAGCGAGCTGGGCAAACTGCGCAAAGCCGTTGGGCCCGGCAACTCTGAGCTGGAGGAGTCCATACAGCAGGTGCTGCTCCAGGGCGCCGATCACAAACGCTCGCTGCTGAGCGATATGGAGCAGCTGCGGCGCGTCGATGGCTACGAGGCCTGGCGCCAGCAGGAGGCCAAAGACTTGAGCGACCTGGTGCAGCGGCGACTCCATCACCTCCAAAATCCCAGTGACTGCCAAAATGCTCGCAAACTTGTCTGCAAGCTGAACAAGGTTCAAGCGACAATTACTCTACTCAGAAGAGATGCAGTGCCTCAACTGGCATCCACTCAAGCCTATCCTCACGCCATTGTCTATCACCTACTCTGCATGTTCAATTAATCTTTTTGTCATTGGTTTTTCTCACAAGCATGAATATTGTAAACAGAAAGAGAGAGAGAGAGATGGAGATGGAGAGAAAGTGAGAAAATTATTATTGACTTTGCTGTATTATGTTCTTTCAATATCACATGATCACAATCTCTTTAACTGCCCTCGAGACTCTAAAACTCTCTTATCTCTCTCTCTCTCTCTCTCTCTCTTTGTCAGATTTATATTGTTTCTTTTTTTTTGTTTTGTTGTAACTCTTTTATTTTATATTTTATTTTTCTCTTGGTTTTTTATTTTTGTTGTGAACGTTGGAGAACGTTCACATCTTATGCTTGCTCTCTCTTCCCGTTTGCTCTCCCTTACCTTTTTTCTGCCCCTCCCTATCCAGTTCAATTTTCAGTTACTTTTCTTCTATTGCATTTGCCCTTTTCTCTGTTCTCTTTTATGCTGCATTCGTAAACTTTGCTTTCACTTCAAATTTCTCCACTTCAAATTTCTTTTTTACTATCTATTTATTTTCATCAATCTTTTTGTACCATTTTCCCATTTTATTCTCTCCCCATTCGTAATCGAAAATGTTTTTCACTAACTACTAAATTTCAACTCAAACTGTCATTTGCTATTTATTTCGTATTTACTTTTTGTGTTTTTCTTACTTCTGACATTCGTAAACGTGCCTCCAAGAGCTCTGCACTCAATTAACCTACCTGAAGAGGCACTTTAGTCTAACAATATTAATTTTAACCCATAGTCTGATTTCTTTTTTCCGTTTTTCAGCTATTTTCGTTGTGCTTGTGGTTTCGTAAACGTTACACTGGCTGCTCTGAGCACCTATTTAGCTATGCACTCATTTCATTCCGTTTCGTTTCGCTTGATTTTTGCAGGGCTGCGGCTATGGCTGCCAGTTGCACCATGTGGTCTACTGCTTCATCGTGGCCTATGCCACAGAGCGCACGCTGATATTAAAGTCGCGCGGCTGGCGCTATCACAAGGGCGGCTGGGAGGAGGTGTTCCGTCCGGTGTCCGATAACTGTCAGGACGCGGGCACAGCGTACGCCTACAATTGGCCGGGCAAGCCAAATACTCAGGTGCTGGTGCTGCCGATCATTGACTCGCTGATGCCACGCCCACCCTACCTGCCACTTGCCGTGCCGGAGGATTTGGCGCCACGCTTGAAGCGCTTGCACGGCGATCCCATCGTCTGGTGGGTCGGACAGTTTCTCAAGTATCTGCTGCGTCCGCAAACGGAAACGCGCGACTTCCTCAACTCGGGCATGCGCAAGCTGGGCTGGGAGCGTCCCATTGTGGGGTAGGCTATGACCGCATCCTTATCCTGACCATTTTCTCTATTTGTATCTGTATCTGCTTGCAGCGTTCATGTGCGACGCACGGACAAGGTGGGCACCGAGGCGGCCTTCCACGGCATTGATGAGTATATGACGCATGTGGAGGACTATTATCGCACTCTCGAGATTAATGGGAGCAGCGTGGTGCGTCGCATCTTTCTGGCCTCCGACGATGCGCGGGTCATCGTGGAGGCACGCAAGAAGTATCCGCAATATCAGATCGTCGGCGATCCGGAGGTGGCGCGCATGGCGGCAGTCTCGACGCGGTATACGGATACCGCCCTGAATGGCATCATTCTGGACATTCATCTGCTGTCCATGTCCGACTATTTGGTGTGCACCTTCTCCTCGCAAGTCTGCCGCGTGGCGTACGAGATAATGCAAACGATGTATCCGGATGCGGCGTATCGTTTTAAATCGCTGGACGATATCTACTATTACGGCGGACAGAATCCGCACAATCGACGGGCGGTCATTCCGCACAAGCCGCGCTCGCACGAGGATCTGCAACTGAAGGTCGGCGATCTCGTCTCGGTTGCGGGCAATCATTGGGATGGCAACTCCAAGGGCAAGAATACGCGCACCAATCAGGGCGGACTCTTCCCCTCCTTCAAGGTGGTCGACAAGGTCGAAACGGCCAAGCTGCCAGTCTATCCGGGTGTCTAAGCTCTCTACCGAATGTCGGATATCTGATATCGAATACCGGATATCCTGGATAGCCAGCCGACCCCATCCAGAACCTTCTCTGCTGAATCTCAATTTAAAATTCTGCTCCGCCGCATTCCAAGTGTTTGTGCATCTTAAATTCTGGTTAAAATCGCCAAAAGCTAACAAAAGAACAGAAACGGAAAATCTCAAATCTATTCAAATGCTCTAATCTCTTTTCCTGGAATGTGGAATCGATCAATGTTCCACACGATTCCATTTGTTGCACTAATTCTATGCATTTTCCTAAGCCGAAGAAATTAGAAAAAAAAGAAATAAGAAGAAATGTTGACAACATAAAGATTATGCATATAGAGAAAACAAATATATATATACATATAGATTTACGTATATGCACATATGTATCTATATATATATAGTATGTGTAAGCATGCATGTAGGGTTCAAATACGCGCAATATAGTTTATCCTTTGTAACATAGACGAAACTCACAAATAAATATAGTCAAGTTTTAATTTGCAAGTTGCAGTTCAATTTAATTGGGAGTGCACGAAATTCATTTAAGGCAAACATTTAAATATTTGTTTTGGTTCTATTCAATAATAACGTTGCATCGTTTTATTGATTAAAAATAACTAAGAGTATCATTTCTAAGCGGGATGCCTTACAAAATCTACACAAATTATCGATTTTAATCGATAGTAAGCAAATGGGCCTCCACTGCGTATACATGAGTTAAAGTTTAAAGGCGCTAGTTATTTTACTTTACACACGGATAGGCGGACATAGCTGTAACGACTCCACTGGTCCTTTTGATAAGGAATCTATACAATTTATATACCCGGTCATGCCTGCTCCTGCATGTTACATACATTTTCACATGTACATTACAATTACTCTTATATACAAATGGTGAGTACATTGACTTTGGTACCATTTACTGCTACTTTACGATGCCAACAGTGTACCTTAACAGAATTACTTCATTGACTTTGTTTGAAACGGGTTACTTTAACAGAATTACTCTTATACACAAATGTTGACTTCATTGGCCTTGGTTCATTTAATGTTAACCAACCAAATATCAGAATTCATCTTTGATGTTAGCTTACGGTATCTTATAACAGTAGCAGCGCTGTCAATGTCAATGTCAATGACTGAGTCGTTCGATAACATTGGCTTGGATATGCACTTACACTCTTACACTCGCTCTCTCTCTTACACACACATGCAGGCACACAAAAGGCTTAATGTAGCGTACTCCTCGATCGCTATTTTGAACCTTGTTTTGTTCAGGTTCAAGATCCCTGCCGGTGAAAGTGCACGGGTAGCCTGATGATGATAATGATGACGATGATTTGTGTGCGAAAACAAAAATTCTTTTGAGTCAGCGAGAAACGAATTTACACCCAGCCACAGGAATGCTGCTTTATAAACAAGAAACAACCAACGAAAATTCCCAAAAAATGTGAGAAAAAAACCAAACAAAACAAAATTAAAAACAGAACAGGCGCCAATTGACAGCGCGACAGAGCGAAATGAAAAACGTGATAAGCGCTCGATCGAAAAAAGAGAAGTAAATTAATAAAAATGTATATAATGTATATAGTATATAAATTAAAGCTCATCACAAAATTATTTATATGCGTAATATAATTAAGTACTCAATGAACCGCAGGGAAGTTGCCGCAACAACAACAACAACAAAAAAGTTACCAAACAGGCAGCTGCCGTTAAACCGGCATGGGCGCGAAAAGGAGCGGTATATGGCGAGAGCCGTGCGTTGGAGAAGGTCAACTTGGTTGAGCCTCAGCTGACGGCGTTCGCGCTCGCACTGGCGCTCGATAAGCCCGTCTCACACGGACTTTGGCTTATGATAACAGGCAGCGATTCGGTATATAAGACATTGCAGCTGCCTTCCAATCAGCAACACTTGTGAACTTACATCCCAATCGACATCACCTTCCAGCGGACCTCCAGTCGAAAATTCAACATGTCGAAATTTAGTTTTGTCGCCCTGATCGCCTGCGCCGTCGTCTATGTTCTGTGCAGTCGCAGCGCCGCAGCGCAGGTCATTGGCAAAGGTGTCCTCAAAAATCCCAGTGAGTATAAGAGTGCGAAAGAGAGGGGTAAGGAGTTACGTATATCTAAATGTATATCCTTTGTTACCCCCTCCAGCTTATCCCGGCAAATGTGTGGTGAACTCCAACCTGATTATGTCGGTCGGACAAGTTGCCAAAGCGCCCAATCATCCGTGCGCCAGCATAACCTGCTTGGAAGGCAGCACAGTTGAGTTGCACACGTGCAAAGCAGTGGCGATACCCAAGGGCTGCAAGCTGCGCGACTTTATCGACACCAATCGTGAATTCCCCGAATGTTGTCAGCGCCACTACGACTGCAACAAACACATCTAAGTGTCTTATCGTTGTCCATAATAGTTCTAAAATCTTGTATTTTGTTTTTGTTGCTCTTTTTTTTTTTTTGGTTTTTATTTATTTTTTATACTACAACATAACAATTAAAAAGTAAACGCTTAGCAATACAATTAAATAATTTAATAAAATCATTAACAGAAAATACATATGCAACTATGTATGTATGTATGTACATATGTATGTATGTTGTTTTCTCTTGTGGGCATTTGGGCAAAGGCCACGCTGCTAATTAACTACACACCTACACACACATTCGCATATCGCTGTTATATGTATATTCATATGCATATATGTGTTTATGCATGTGTTGCTCCTTTTAACTATATACATACGCATTACTCTAGCGTACTTAATGCCTTCCAGCAGAGCACGCAACTGATTGTGTGCGTGTCTGTGTCTCTGCTGTGTGACGAACAGAACAAACTAAATCGAGAGCGTGTGAAAGGAAGAGGAAACCCGTTAACTTTTGATACTTTCTGCATGGTATTTTGGTGTCTCTTTCATAATTTGTTTTGCTTTTGTGTTCTTAGTAACTTTCACTTGTTTTTGTGAATATGTGTACGTGTTGTGTCTCCTATCGACTGAGATTGTTTATATAGAGCGCGTGCAGTTCGGTGCGCGGAGTATTCTCGAATAGGGCGGCACGATTCTGGCCCTCACCCTTCTTCACCCAATGACCATACACACGGAAGGCGCAGCCATCGATAACCTGTCAACGATAAATGTTATTGATTGTTGTTACCAGTGATCGATATATGTATGTATGTATGTATGTGTAAATTCAAGTATTTCTGCAGTGTTTTAGGTTTACCTTGCGCAGCACCTTGACGCGATAAGGATCACGTATGGCCTCCTCAACGTGAAGCGGCTCGGCCGTGTAGCGTAGACGACGTATCCTAATAACCGCGCGTATGACTAATATGGCAAATTGGAACTTTTTGCGCGCGTTGAAGCGACTTTGTTTCCGCAGCTAAATATGCGAAAATTAAAGAAAAAATCACACATAGGATGGGGGTTAATTTTGTTATAAGGTAATTACTTCAAAATTGTTTATTGTGTTAGGGTTTGTTTTTTTTTTGTTTTTGTTTTTTTTTTTTTTATTAATATTTGGCTTTTTACGTTTTAGTTCATACGCCTTGGGTTAATACGGTTATCGTTAGCGGATGTTCAATACAACAATTCTAAAGTCGCGTGTGTGTGCGTATATGTGTTTGTTTTGGTTTGTGGCATTTAAAAACTTTACGCGAACACATCTTGCATTAGGCGACTGTATGTCTGTGTCCGTGTCAAAGTCAATGCGTGTGCGTGTATGAGAGAGACATTACATACATACATATGTCAAGTTAATCTTAAGCTGTTAGTTCCGTGCTGTTATGTGCATTTAACATACTTATGTCAAGAGAATGAAAGGCAGAGAGAGAAAGGTACACAGTTAAATTCACCACATTGTCATTGTACGGGACGTGCCAAGTTGTGTTTGTGAGATGTCGCAAAGCAAAAGCAAATAAACAAATACAGGATTGTAATGAACTCAAAACAGAAAAAATAAGTGCGGTGTAATGGGCGAAACTGTTAAATCCGTGAGCGAGTGAAAGAGAGCGCATGCGGAACGCGCTCAGGGACAGAACACACACAGACAGAAATATATAGATATACATATGTATGTACATGGATTATAAACATACACATATATGGTGGATAAATAAAATATATATAGATATAGAATTGAACAATGGCATTTTAAAATGTATATATACTGTATAGGTAACTAATTGTTTTATATATGGTTTTGCGCATTTTGACTTTGGTTTACTCACAAGGGAGTCTCCACAACACCGACTTATAGACACACATCTTATAAGGGCGTTGAGACTCTGACAATATAGAGAACATGACACACAAAACAAAACGTGTATATCAAATCATACAGAGGAGAAATTAAAAACAAAACAAAAAACATCGTCAGTGAATTGGTAAGCGTAATCGTTTTTTTTTTTTTTCAAAATTTTTAATTTTTTTTGTTTTCATATATTATCTATGGTGTATGTATGAATATGATCCAATGTGTACTTAACGGTTAAATTTAACATAAACAGAGGCCATGCAAAAGAACAGAGAGAGAGAGAGAGACAGACAGATGGAGGTATATAGAGAGAGTGCCAAAACTACAACAGCATTATGATTAGTGATATACAACATATTTAATAATACTACCATAATACAAACGGCAAAAGCGTTTTTATTTATTTTTTTTTTCCCATATGAAAAAAAACCAATTGACCCAAAGATATATACTACTATACTAAAAAGGTGCATATAATACAAACATTTTTTGGTATATATTAAATAATATTATATTAAGTGTAAAATTAAATGTTACAGACTAAATAAAAATGTGCGTTCCATTTACCACAGGGCTGGCAAATGCAATATCAAAGTGAGGTGAGTTCAGTGGAGATGAGGCGTGGTGAATGCGCCCTGCTACATGGCTACAATATTTTTTACTGTGCTGTGAGTGAAATTAATGGAATTGAAATGTGAGCGATGTGTGTGTGTAGGGGCCGCTGCCAAAGTTAAGTGTGTTGTGTGTGTGTATATGTGTATGATGCACTAATCAAATACAACTAAAAGCGCTTTTCGTTGAGAGAAATAAGGAATGTGTTATATAACTAAATTGATACGTGAACATATTGATAAAAGAAAATAGGAAAAACCTGCCTGCACGGATGAATACAATAAATGTTTTGCATTTGCCGCACTCTCATAATTATCGTTATCGTTATCGATGCCCAAATGCTGCCGCGCTTTATTAGCTGCTGTTGATTGCTGTTGCTGCTGCTCCTGCTGCTGCTGTTGTAGTTGTTGTTGCTGCTGTTGATAGTATACTGTGGCCGTCAAGGTCATGGACGACGCTGTATTCGACGTCGTTGTGCTTTCCAGCTGTTGTTGCTGTTGCTGCTGCTGCAGCGGTTGCTTCTGTTTCGCATGATCAGGCGCAAAATAATTGCTGCTACTGCTGGTTGTAGCGACATCGCGTAATCGATTCGATGAATACGAGCTCTGCGGCGCACTGCAGTAAATATAGGAGGAGGATGCGCCGCAACTGCTGCCAGCGTTTCCACTGTTCAGTCGATTATAACGGAAGGCTGTTTGATTCTGATTCTGGCGGCTCGAGCTGGGACCGCTACTATTTGTGTTAGCGTTGCCCGCATTGCTGCCTGGATAATGTGCAACTTTGGCATTTGCATGCAAGTGCTGCATATACGTCATCTCGTTCAGTAGAACCTAATTATCGCGTCATTTGTTTTCAGATAGAGTGCGGCATAGACAGAGGGAAAGAGGGGGAGAGCGAGAGCGAGAAATTGGCAAAGTGCAGGCAGCGCGCATGTTGGGCAGGTCAAAACGCAAAAAAAATGAGGAATACAAAATTGTAAAAATGTTAAAGGAAATAAGTCAAATGAACAAAACCAGACAATAAACATTAAATTAAAATTATAAATATATCTAAATTTGTGTACATAAGTACATATGTATGTATAGTAAATCTAAGTATGCTTAACTTAAAGACCTGGTATAAGTATAAGGCTTTGTATAAGAGTCTGAATGTGCCTAGCCTACGCTTTATATGCACCTTCTTAATTGCTCCTCACTTAATAAACCTAGGTAGACATAACGAGTGGGTGTGAGAGGGAGAGAGGGGGTGACGGATATACATGTATAAGAGTATACCACGAATGTATACGAGGTGAGCTTTTTAATGTTAGACAGAGTTTTCATGCATTCGCTTTTTGGCTGCGGCGTCTGCGGTTGATGCTGCTGCTGCTGTTATCGTTATCGATATACATAGATATGTTAATTATTATCGCAATCGCAATCGCAATGCACACGCAACAGGGACAATGACAACAAATACATACATACATACATACATAGATCAACAAGCAAAGATATATATGTACATACATATGTTGTAATTATTATAAATTAAATTAAATGCTAGAAAAACGCACATGAGACTATATTGAATGTGTAAATGGAATAAAATGCAGCTGCATTCAATCAAAGAGGGAGACAATAATAAACGACAACAAGCCAACACGATTACGATAACTAAGTGAGTCGATAGAAAAACACACACATACGAAAGGAAAAAAAATATTTGGTGTTAATTGAATCGAATTGATATCGGAACACAATGCAAATACATATACATTGAATATATATATATTTATATAAAAACAAACAAAATGCAATATGATATTATTGTTGGTTTCTATATATTGTTGTATTTGTTGTTGTTTATTAATAGTTTTTAATAGTTTGAATCGTTTGGCTGCTGTTGTAGTTGTTACATTAGAATTGGGTGGGTTTGGGTTAGTCCAGTAATAATTCGTTACCAGTGCGATTTCAGTGATGCGACTCATTCTTCTGGACTTGGTCGATAGGCTGCGCTTGAGGCCATCAATATTTTGCTCGAACAACTATCGATTTGTTATCGAGTTATCGACAGAAGATTTGGGTTTGTTTGTATTCATGTGTTTCGTTTTTTTTTTTTTTTTTTTTTTTTTGTAAAATAAACAATTTATATATTTTCGGTATTTTTCAGTATTTTTGCGGTATTTTTGTATATTTAAGATATGTAAGAAAAAGAAAAAAAGGTACGTATATAATAAAGTTGAAGAAAAATAAGAGAAATAAATAGGTAGAGTAGAGGAAGAAGAATAATGCGCTTAACTTAAATGCAAAAACATAGGATATATATGTATGTAAATATAGTTAAGTATCTAGGATATAAAAAGCTAATACGAAAGCCGATTTTTAGAACTTAAACAGGAAATAGAAAAAGTACAGTAAACACTCGATAAGAAAGACATTTTGAAAATGAATTCAGAAATGAGATATAAAACGTAACAGATATCGCTTAGCGAGTGCTGACTGTAGTTGTGTGCGGCTTAGCAGCTGGAGCACGTGTACAACTGTTAAGCGGATTAACTTATTATCTTATTTAAATAGTATATATATAAATCATATATTATAGAGTGTACAAAATAAAGCAGTTATTATGCTGGGTGTGTGAGCAGTGTGTGAGTCACAGTGGCGTGTGTGTGTGATTGAGGGGGGCGATCGGGTGTATCATAGAGGTTTTTCCTTTTAGAGACAATTGCGCAAGAAGAGGAGCTCATACTCAGCGAGTACGGCGGGGGAAGAAGGGAATACTTAGAAGGGTATACATAGGTCGTGCTCGAATGTGGGGAACTTAGGTGGTAGATATATACATATACATATATAGCGATTTATATTAAATACTTTTATGGAATAGGGGTTTTCTTTTGCTATGATACTCTAGGAGACTGCAACCGGCCCTCTAAACGTTATGGCTAATCATACTGACTAACATAGTGGTATATATGGTATAGTTGTAATAATAGTAATGCCTAGCAGTATCGGGTGTATAGATTCCACATGGACGGGCGGCGCCAGGGGCGCCGACACTTACCATTTGATTGAAGAATGGATGTCTTAATACTTCCTTAACGGTGATACGTTGCGCTGGATCAACGACTAGACATTTACGTATCAGATCTTTGGGATCCTCTGTATGGAATATAATGATACATTGCTATAATTTATGCATACACGCATCGAATAGATGTTGGGGACTTGACCTGAAATATCGGCCCATTCGGGCGAGGTGAAACTGTATTTGCCCTCCATGATGTTGCGCAGCATCACCATCTGCTTGCGATGCCAGAACGGGGGACAGCCGACGAGCAGGGTGAACATTATGACGCCACAGGCCCAACTGGAAAGCGTATCAAATACATGTAAATATATATGTATGTGTATCAACAGTAACTATGCCGTTGCTTACATGTCCACTTCCTGCGAGTAGCCCGGGGAACCCTCGAACATGTTGCACTTGAGTGTCTCCGGTGCCAAATAGCCCGGAGTGCCGCAAAGATCTGTTGAAAATGACAGTTATAGTAGATGTTTTATAATATCGTTTAGAGGGAAACAATAAGTGAAAGAGAGAGATAGCTATATGCAAATACCTTGACATGAACCGTTTATAAGAGTTCTTGAATTCTTGTTTAGATTTAGTTGGATGTCGATACATTTCAGTTGGGCGAAGCCTAAAGAGGCCCTAGAACTTATAAAAAGTTCTTCTAGGTATTGTGCAATACAATTTTGTAAAGATTGCAACATGATATTTTACCGTATCTAGAAGTTTCTTATATAGCTCAAAATATTTCTAAGCAAATACTTCAAGGAGCTAAGGCAACTAGGGCCATGTATATGGACATCGACTATACATATATATGACTAAATTGTACACTTATATTGTTATATACCAGTACTTCTACGACTATCTGCTTTTACTATTCACTTTATATATCTCTATATATAGAAAATCAAGTGATCATCTGGAGTTAATGTCTTGAGTTTGATGAATATATATTGTTTCTTCTAATCGTACATTCATCACTTCATAATATCTTCGTATTCATATTTTCTCTCCTTTACTTTATAGCGATCAAAAGGGCTTTAAGGACTTCTGCATAACGAAAAGACAATTAGATCTAGAGACATAAGATTGACATATCTCATAATATATACTCTTCTACTCCTCATTTGATATCTTTAAAGACTAGGACCTGTAGACATTCATATATAGTTCGTAACATCTATGCACACTCCACATCTTCAATGCCTTATAGCCTTATTGGTTACCTGCGCTACACCTTAAGAGTTCACTCCTCGATTGCAAATGATAAAGAGTATATTTTCCTACAGCTTAGCATTCATCCTGTTTTGCCTTTATCCTCATATGCTTTCCCATTCTTATTATCAGCCTTTAACTCATTCACTTCTTCTTCTTCTTCTTCTAGTGCTGCTGCTGCTTCACCTGTAAGTTTCTCGCCCTCGCCCAGCTGCCGGGCGAATCCAAAGTCTGTGATCTTCACGTTGTGATTCTCGTCGAGCAATATGTTTTCGGGCTTCAGATCTCGATGCACGATGTTCTTGCCGTGTATATACTCGACGCCCTCGAATATCTGCCGCATGATGGTGCGTGTCTTCTTCTCGGAGAGCGTCACCACCGATGTCAGATAGTCGAACAGTTCGCCCTTGGGGCACAGCTCGAAGACAAGAAATACAAATGCATCCGATTCAAATACATCCTGCAAATCAACTGCAAGACAAAGCGACAGAGAGAGAGAGAGAGAGAGAGAGAGAGAGAGAGAGAGAGTTAGAGCTTGTAGAGCTATATTTATATAGATATTCTGGTATAGTTACTTATGTAGGGATGCCCCATCACTTGGCGTAAGATTGAGATTTCCTGCCTGGTTGCTTCGAGCATATGATATGGATTCGTTTCGCCCGATTCCGTCGTGGCGCCCAGATCGATAATTTTCGCTGCAAACTCTTTGCCCGTCTCCTTCTCAATGCAGCGACGCACCGTCGAACTGATGCCCCTGTGAGGATGAGTTTATATATTGAATGTATTAGTAAGATATACACATATTGTCCTATAAAGTTACTTTAACTGTAGTTACACATTGGGCCTAGTCATTAAAGAACAAACACAGCTTCAGATCACGCATTCTAAAGTCATTTTGCAGTCTTGATCGGAATGCACACTGTATAAAGATTTGGACTATCTGAATCAGATAAGATCTATTCAAATGCGCATTAGAGCTTTACGAAATGTTTATCCAGCCGATGAGTCTTGTAATTCTTGTAAACAGATGGAAGAGAGAAAGGGGGCAGATGCACATATAGAGAAAAGATAGACTATATAATCTATCCAGCACCTGTGTCTGAAGGGAGGAGGAGGAGGATAGACTACAGAAAATATAATCTGCAAACTCATTTCAAGTTCAACTCAAGGTGATATTTGTAGATCTATCCTAAAAGAAAGTTGGATGTTTTAGCCGTCTTCGACTATTTTTCTGTCTCTTTTTCAGTTTGACCTCATTTCAACTTTGTTTTTTAGTTCCTAGCTCGTTCGATTCCCATGCATTTTTTGGAGCATTACGCGACAGTTCACACGTCGCGTCATGTTCTCACTGGCACCCAATGGAACAGGCCATACAGCTTTGAGTCATAGCTCATCAGCTCATAAAAAAAAAAAAAAAAAATTCAATAAAAAGTGAAAAAAATAGCAATGCAAAAACATTTATAATGAAATAAACAAAGTTTAGAATTCTGCAATGTCAACAGAAACAGGAAGAACAAGCAACAATTGCAAGAAGTAAATAAATAATGAAATTTAACTATAGATTCAGGTCGAGACGCCGAATGCTCTATGTAGAGATCCTTAAGGAAGCGAAACTGAATGAAATGAACCGGAATGGAATCACAAAGTGTGACTGAGAGCGAAGTAGAAGCAAGAATTAGTATTTGAGAATTATTAGAATTAGCTTCGACTCGAATCATAGATGGTTAGCGAAAAAATAAACTGGAACTAGGTCAAAACATAAAAAAGATTTTGTCAACCAATCACTAAATACTCAATTGAGTCACATAACTAAACAAATCAAAATGTAACTGGATCTAAAATGATTATATTCGTGGCAGTTCTGGGAACTGCCATTTAATCTATATTGAAGAAAAACAAGTCAGATGTTTCGAATCACAGATACTTGTTTGGAACTAGAAAAAAAACTGAAGCTAGGGCTAGATGATGTTTTGAGCTAGTCAATCAGTTTCGAGAACTAAACATTCAATCTACAAATCCTTCAAAATGAAATACTATGTGGCTCGAATCAAAGATCCTTAGAATTGATAGTATCTATATTTTTGCGATAGTCAATCAATCTATCACGTAAAGAACTATTAAATTAGTTCGAATCACGATGATGAGTTTCGAGAGTGTATATTCAATCATATATAGCTTGAATTCTTCTTTGACTGATATTCAGTATTATATATATATATATATAAAATTTAATACTTGTAGTTCTTACATTGGTTGCGCTACGTTTTCTTTATCTCTTTCAACTAAATGTGTATGCATAAATGTTAATATTAATCAATATGTATATATATATAGAGATCAATACATCTTGATTGGATATTTGATAAGAGAAACCGATAAATGAAATGTATTATGTATTTAAACTAAAGTCTCTAGCTTAAACTCAAAATGAGTAACAGCATTTCCTAACTGATTTCAAGTAGAAAACATCAGTTAACATTAGCGAGTGATCACTGTACTGCACAATTGCAGCATTGTTTGCATTCTTCAATGTTTTGCATAAGTCAGAAAGCTTTGCTTCGAGCTCAACATGAAATAGTATAAGTCAGCGTATAAGACTGTTTCTGTTTATGTTTTCGTCAGTTTACGACTCTTATACTTATTAGCTTACCTGCCCAGTATTTCTTTGGGCTCATATTTGGCGTAGAAGCCCTTGGCCGCATCCTTGTCGGGCAGCAGATCATCCTCCTCGTCTTTGGCCATTAGATCGAGTGAAATTTTGGCGACGTTCTCCGACGACGCTGTGGCAGCACTTTACTTCTTTTTATCGTTGTTGTTGTTGCAGTCGTTGTTGTTGTTGCTTGTAATCCAAATCCGCACTTGGGTTATTAGCGAACGATTTGAATTCCCCAATAATCCCCCGCACCGTTCAATCTCAAGTTCTTCTACTGAATCTTTCTCCTGTTCTCTTTGGTGTGCGCGCTCGCTCTCGTTCTCGCTCTCTCTCTCTCTCTCTCTCTCTCTCACTCTAGCTCTCTCGCTCTTTGGTGTGTTGCTATTTTTATAAACGAATCGACGCGATGCGATGCGATCAGTGCACGAATTGAATCTGTTCCGTTATGTGCCGACAACTGACTGAATGTCCGCTGCTGCTACTGCTGCTGCTGCTGGCGACTGCGTCGCTGCCTTTTCTCTTCTTCACTTTTAATTACCAACAAATCGGTGGCGTTGGCGTCGCTGCTGCGCCGTCTGAGAGTATAGCTGTTGTGCCGGTGTTTTGCAGCTCTGGCTGGTGCTGACTTTGTATAAGAAGAAGCAGTAGCAGTAGCAATTGTTGTTGTTGTTGTTGTTGTCGTTGTCGTTGATGTGGTTGTTGGCTGTATAAGTCAAATGTGGGCTTCTGCTGCTGGTGCTGCTGTTGTTGCCCTCTCATTCCCACTCGTTGGCTCGGTCGCACTCAGCTGTTGTTACGGCTGCCGCTGCGGCTGCTGATTTAATTAATAACGAATGCCAGCTACAACAAATCGATTTAAACAGAACAAAAAACATAAAAAAAAAAAAAAAAAATCAAATCAAATAAAATAGAATTAACATTTTTTCCTTAGTTCTGCGCTTATAAATGATTACACAACGCATGGTCCAATAAACGGTGACAAATGCGTTCACATGTTTAATTACATGCACTCACACTCACACTCCCTCACACACGCATACACGCAGACATGCAAACCACCCCCCTGCTGACTGGCTGCCTCTCACTCTCTATCACTCACAATCTTTGGCGTTTGTTTTGATCGGATTAATGCACATTTACTAGCACTGGGACACGGCCATCAGAAGAAACTGAGCTCAAGCGCTGCGTCTCCGCGGACCGCGGCCACTGCCTCAGCTGCTCTTGCAGACGACGACGGCAGCGACGTCGCTATTTTGCTTGCGTGTTTTTGTTGCCGCAGGTGAATTTTAATAGCGGGCTTGTTGTTGTTGCTGCTGCTCATTTTCATTTACCATATATTGAATTTCATTATTAATTTTTTTTTTTTGCTCAATTTTTTTTTGGGGGCTCGTTGGCCAACACTAGGGGGTCAACGCTGCAATTGTAGCAGATCTCGATTCGAGGTTTGCTCTCCTTTTCTAGCGCACACAGCACAACACTAATGGGACAGCAAGCAAGCAAGCAAGCAGCCAGGCAGGCAAGTAGCCAGACAGACGCACTGTCTCCGCCTCTAGCGGGTACATTTCAATGTCAACTAAGGTTAAAAGTAATACTGTTGGCCAGGGGAGTTTGCATTGCACATACACCGGGCGCACGAACAGCTGCTGGCGTGTCGAAACTTAGCGGGCATAACTATCTCTGAGTTGTATTTTGTAATATTAAATAGGCAAAACAAAACCCTGTATTTTGAACACAATCACAATACTACCGAAACAACTACAAGTACCACAAGTTAAGCAGCTATCGATATCGAGTGCATATGCACCGATGCCGATATGGTTGCGCAAGCAACCGCTATTGTTATCGCATGCATGCGATATCCAGCACGAGCGATATCTGACAACACGGCCAGTGTTGCCACCGTGGATAGAGAAAAACTGTTGAAATTTGAATTCTAAATTTGAATTTCATTGCAATTACTTTTTTTCCGTTTATTTGACATACATGTATATTTACGTGTTTATGTTGTTTTCTTCGAATGGAATACAATTGTAAAAAATATTAAATAGTCGCTAAGGTGGTCTTGTAATAATGATGAGGCAAATGTATACAAATTTTGTCGTTTCTTTTTTTCAAATGAAGCCGTTTTTGTTTTTTAAGGTTCGAAATTTGATGAGAAACAATTTAGTTTTTTATTTTGTTTTATTTTTTCTTGTTTTTTTTTTTTTTTACTTAATGCTTATGGTTTATTAATACTCCACAATGGGGCTTGATGTGGTTGTTAATTACCTGTGGCTCAACCTCGGTGTTTACAATATTTTTTTTTTAATAATTTTTTGTTTCCTTTTTAAAGTACACAATCAAAAGTAAACATATCATTATATTATATATATATATGTAAAGAGACGTACTAGAAAAAAAAATTTATCGAATACAAAATACAAATAGACTTGCAAAAAAAAAAAAAATAATAATAATAAAATAACGGTTGCTCAGTGCCAAAGATACATTTACAATAATATATATATATATAATATTATAGCATTTTTTTTTACATATATATATAATATGCATGTATATTTCAGACAATATATGTATATATATATGTATATAAAAAAAAATAATTGATTTTGCTCTTCGCAAACGAATTTTAGGCCTACGACTTATAAATAATATCTATGTATATATATACGTATTTTCTTTTTCTCAAATTTTTTTTTCAGGATCAGGACCGAAACGGAGTGTGGGGGACACGCTTCAGTTCGCTTCGGGGTTTCAGTACAATAAATCAGTTTTCTGAGTGCCTTCGCTATAGACAATGCCGCCCGCTGTTAGAAAGTCATCGACATCGTCATCTGTTCCAGCCGCATCCTTGGCATCGTTGACTCCGCTCTCGCCGTTTTCACCATCCTTGAGCAGCCCCTCGCTAATGCCCACAATGCTGCCGTTGCCATTGAAGCTGCTGCTGTTGTTGCTGCCACCGTTTGTGGCAACAGCGCTGGGGGAGCGGGTCACGCCCAGTTGGAACAAGCTGTCCATGGGCGACGCCTTGACGGGGGTGTAAAAGCCCAAAGCTGTAGAGCCTGTAATTGAGAGATCGATTAATCCAAATGGAATTGGCTTTCACAGCTAAACGATTAATTACTAAAGCCGAATTAATTGATTTAGTGGCAGAATGTGTGAACCAGTGTTGCATAATGTGCAAATTAAAGTGAAACAAATTTCAAAGTGTCAGTGTGCGTGTGCGTGTGAGTGTGTGAGTGAGTGTGTCTTCAATTGAGGTTAGTTACCTTAGGAGATTAATATGAATTGGCGATAAGTTTAGTTTTTGTTTGTTTTTGTTTTTTTAAGCTTCAGTTCTGCGTTAGCCAACACCATGAAAAGGTTGTTGCTGTTGCTGTTGCCGATGTTGTTGTTGTTGTTTTGATTGTTTTTGTTGTCAGACTGACAGCAGCGCTTCAGTGTGCGAGCGAGAGCGTGAGAGTGCGAGAGGAAGAGACGTTGCTTTACACCTGGTTTGGCCGCCTCATTTTTTTTTCTTTTTTTTTTTTGCATTTGTTTTTAGGTGTTCTTTTTAACTTTGATGTTTATATACATATACATATACGTATGCACACATACATATATGCATTTGCATATGTAAATCGTATTATGATTATTTTTTGTATTATTATTATAGATATTATTTGTAAGTATTATGTTATTAGTTTTAAATAATATCTGCAAAAGAAATTAGTAAAACACAAGAGAGGGAAAGAGGTGTGAGTAGTGAGAAGGGAATAGAGAAAAAAAAAACGGAATTCTTGTTTAAATAAAGTTAATATTAGTTATATAGAGATATTATAGAGCTATACGAAAAGTGCCAGGCAGTTATTAGTAATATATATATATATACATAGATGTGAGCTAAATTCGAATTATGTGTGCTGCAGCCAACTTAATGCATATGTTATGTTCATTCAGTGCTGCCACATCTTTGAAATATTATGGGTATTAGTGCAAGATGTTTGAGAAATGAAAACATTTAGTTAAGTAGAAGATATATTATATGGATATATGATAAGCAGGAGTAATGGGAAACTGAGGCAGCGAGTGGCCAGATAACTCGTTATTTCTGCATAACAGGCTGAGGGAAGGTTAAGTAATCTATGAGAAATGGCGAATCGGGAGTAACGAGTACAGAGTAGTAGGATAAAGGACTATTGCTTATTGCGCATATTCTCCAAAGGATTGCGGAACCAAGTGTGTGCGAGACAGGGCCTTTACCATAGTAAGGAGTAACAAGTAACGAGTACGAAGATATATCGAACAAGCAACACAAATCGAGAAAATGTATATGGGGCTGACCGAGCGAATAACGAGTAACGAATAACGATTGGCGAGTAAGTACAAGCTATACACGGCATGTATTTTTGTGTTTTTGCCAAAGCAGGAGCTGGGTAAGGACTACTACTACATGTACAAGGGTCTGAGCCACAACCAAAACGAGTAGCGAGTAGCGAGTAGCGAGTGAGTTGTGTAATACAGTTAAATCCAAATGGATGATTATATTAGCTCCCCAGGAGTTACGAGTAACGAGTAGCGAGTGAAGAGACAACGAGTTGTAGCTGGGTCGTATCTCTATCCGTACACAAAATCTATACAACGAATTTGAGGAGATGGGATCTGGGCCACAACCTTAGCGAGTGACGAGTAGCGCAGCAGCTCGTTATGTTTTAACCAATTGGTAACCTGGGAATAGGGCTTGATAAGTATAAAAAGAGTATCCTGAACCGTACTGGAATCGGGTCTGGGCCACAACCATAGCGAGCAGCGAGTGCGTAGGACGAAGGACGTGGGAGCAGGGCTTACACAACGAGTACAAATAAAAAAAGCTTGAGTTTGCCTACGTTTCACAAGAGACAGGATGGAACGGAGAGCAAAGACAGTTTAGACATAGTAGAGCGTGTTGCCTGGAATGCGAGCCTGCAGCAGGGCGTTGGATGCGTTGGGTAGCGCTAGCGAAGACGACGACGATGACGCCGACGACGCCGATGACGACGAAATTGACGACGGGGATGACGTCGTTAGGTTGTGGGTAGCTAAGGGCAGACTGGCGCGACGGCGACTCAAGCAACTTCCATAGCTGCAGGCAGTTGTTGTTGTTGTTGACGTCGTCGTTGCTATCGTTGTTGGTGCTGTTGTTGTTAGAGTGTGTTTGGTATATTTACTCTGCAGCTGTGGCTGTTGCAGTTGCAGTTGCAGATGGAGTTGCGGCTTGGCGGCATGCGAGAATGAGGCAGCTTTGCGCTTAGCCAGATGTGTTACAGGTGTCACTGCTTCATTTTGCAGAAAGCACGCATACTGCGGCTTTAATAGAACCGAAGGCCTACGACGTTGTAGCTGTGGTTGCTGCTGCTGCTGTTCTTGCTGATGTTGTTGTTGTTGCTGCTGCTGCTGCTGCTGAGCGTCCATTGGCTGTGGTTGAGACTGTTGCAAGATAATACCCCTCCCTAAACTTGGGTAATCTGCAAATATGCGTGATCCTTAAATAGAAATCCTAACAGCTGATGCTGTGTATGTGGTGCAAGGGGCATAGTTGGGGCTGCAGTGGGGCGGTAACTAGAGGTAGCTAGATAGTTGGGCGTGGTTTTGAGGGGGTGCCTGGCTGCTTGAGTAGCTCAACGTAAGTGCACTACACCCACCTGAAGAGCTGAATTAGTTTTCGGAATCTTTTGAGCAGCTGCCGGCCAGGTGGCAGCGCCAATTGCCAGCAGCAGCATGCAGCCCTGGCATGACCTAGACAGCAGTCCCTAGAAGACATGCTAGTAGAATTGCAGTTAGCGGCAATCGCTATGTTAACTGTAACAGTGGCCTTTTCTGTAAAGTGCAGAGATATGTTGTTGTTTTTGCTGTTCTTGCTGTTGCTGTAATCAGCAGGCATGCATATGCAATTGGATCGTATGCGTGGTCAATTGTGCGTTGAGTATGAGTAGGTGTGGTGAGTATGCTATAACAGGATGCTGTGTGCGTGTGTAAGAGAACGTGTTAATGTGTATATTGATGGCTGTCAATTTGAATCCCCCGCACAGATGGCGCCAATAAAAAGTGTTAAAACTCAAGAGCTCAGCACTACGACTAAGACAGATCTATATATGTATGTATGTATAAATATACATACATACAATTGTGTTTATATATATAGACACAAAGGCAAAGATAGAGTGAGAGAGACAGAGACAGAGAGTGACAAAGGCACAGAGAGAGAGAGATAGTTGCGGCTCTTGCTAAGCATGCACACGCATACATACACAAACATTTATATCTATACTATATATGTATGTGTGCATATATATGTATGTGTGTATATAGGGTGTATGTACATGACAGGGTTGCCACACTCACCTAATGGTAAATTCCCCAGCATTGCGCTGGTCGCCGACGTTTTATGCGACGTCGAGGATGTTGTTGATGCTGTCGGAAGCTCTATTATCTCATCAACTGTTACATGGTGATGCTGTTGCTGCTGTTGTTGCTGCTGCTGCTGTTGCTGCTGATGCTGCATGCGTAGATGCTCCTCATAGAACAGCTGATGATGCTTGGTCACATTACCGTAGGGATCGGCATACGGCTGATCGTCAACGGTTTGTGATGCCTCGGAGGGATATTCAAACGTTGAAGTTAACGTATCGTTAAATTGTACGCGGAACTGTAAAAAAAAACAACAAAATGTTATTATACATATGCATATCTTGTACATAAAATAAATGTAAAATGTTACACATATTTTCGCATACATAATACATATGTGTGTGTGTGTGTGTGTGTGTGTGTGTTTATGTACATATGTAGGTATGTATGCATGTATGTATATATGATATCTGTCACACTGATGAAACGCACCCAAGCCCAAGCCTACCTAAACTTCTCCCCCTGCCCCCCTGGCACACTGTCACGCTTCACCCCTACAGAGAGATCGCCAACAAAAGCCACTTTTAATGCATTTTGATTAATAGCGACGGCACAAATAAATAAATATGATAACGCAACAAGGAAATGAAAAAAAGACATAAAAAAATCAACAATAACAATAAAACTAGTTAGAATAGTTTATGCTGCTTGTAGTCGCCAGTTGAAATACCCTAACATACATATGCTTATGTGAGACTATTCTCAGTTTCACTTTCTTATCTGGGCATTTACGGTTATAAGACTTGACTGCTAATCAAAAATATAAGATTTTTTAAATCAATAAATGCTCTCTCTTGCTCTTAATCTGTCACTTCCTGGCTTTTACTTGTCGCTCATTTAGTCAAATATCCTCTCAGCTGTTCAGCGCTGCAACTAACATAATAGATTAACAGCATGTTAACAGCGCTAATAGCATGTAAACAATTTATAATCTACAGTTAACATTTCTTCTAGTGCTTTTTCCGCTCTTTTGTATTGCTGCCTCTACTGCTGGAGATGAGCGTGTCGAAGAGCAACACATAAAAATGATAAACAACAACAAAGCAAATGAAAGTGGCTCAAGTAAATTTTCGTAAGCTTCTTTATGCCCTTAATGCAATAAGCGAGCAAAACAACATTTTCGACAATAGGAAAACAAAAATCACAAAAGGAAATTTTTATAAAAAAAAAAAGTTGAAATAAAATAAATAAAACACTGACCCCATGAGCTTTAAGAAATAATTGCTGTTAATTGTTTTGCATCAGTTTGTTTGTTTGTTGCTTTTTATTTTTTAAAGCGATTAAAAGCTAAAAAACGAAAGTGAAATTAAGGCCAATAGACTGCAGCAATTTAAATATATATATAAAAAAGAACAAGCGGCAGATTACCACAAATTGATAAATCTAGTACAGTGAAAGCACGCTTAAGTGCATAGCGAACAGTTAGGAGATGCTCAATTTGCAAAATGATCAAATATTATCAATTAGTTCTTCGATTTCTTTATAATTTTATTTTAAAATAAAATGTTTTATCTGATTTGACGCGGTTTCCATTAATTTATACTATAATACTCTACAAATTGATTTGATATGCGATAAGACTGTGTTTTCATTACAATGCGACAGAATCTTCAATCATAAAAAAAAAATAGAGTCGCCGACTTCGTTACAATTAATATTGGTAGCCCCACACACACACGCGCACGCACACTGTACAACAAAAATAATCTTATCTTATCCTTGCCAAACAAAATACAAAAAAAGAACCTGCACAATCAGAAAATACTCAAGTATTTTGGTGAGTGTGGAACTGTTAGTCATGCCTTACGTACTAACAGTAGTTTTACGTACTATAATATATGTACATATGTGTGTATGTGTGCATATATACTTATGGATGCATTAGTCACGAAGAGGCATATAATTGGCTGTATGAAATGAAATGCATTTCCGTATGTGTATACATATGGATGTATGTGTGCATGGTGAAGGTGAATGAGTGATGAACGAGCGGGGGGCTGTTTATACTCACCGATGAATCTTTGGGTTTCTGTCGTATGCTGGACTTGCCGTCGATCACAATATTCGCATTCTCGAACTCCACATCGCAGGGCGACGGCGGGCACATGGAGTAATCATCGTAGTCCGTGTCTGTCGATGTCTCCACCGAAAGGTCGCCCAATAACACGAAGCCCGGTTCATTTGGCTGGAAAGTGAAAATTAACAAAAAGTTCGAATCAAATGAAATATCTTAAAAGCTCAGTTTGTAGATAGCCAGAGGGAGAAAGAGACAGAGAGAGAGAGAGAGAGAGAAAGGAAAAGAGCGATGGAAGGGGGTAGAGCTGTTTCGAGGCCGATATCGTTTGCTCTGAATCACAGCTGTCCCATTTCTCGCCATGTCGGACACAGAACCTAATGGACAGACCCTACATACATACATATACCGAACAAGAGATAATAAACTTCAGACACAGATAACAAAAAAAAAAAGCAAATGCATACATGTATGTATGTATATACGAGTATTTATGTATGTATATACATACATACCATACATGAATACATAAAGACCAACAAAAACTACATCAACAACAAACATAACAAGAACAACATAAGGCATAAAGCAAAAGCAACCAGAATTGAACGTCAAAAAAGAATTGACAAAATTGAGTTCAGAGCGGCACAAAAACGGGTTTACTATTGTCAATAGCAAGCGCGAAAGAGCGAGCGCTTGTTTTGCACATGAAAGGCAGAGTGGGAGCGCGGAATAGACAGAGAAACAGAGAGAGCAGCAGCAGGCAGCTTTGCGTTGAGCAGAGCACTTTTATTCAACACAGCTGCGTTCAGAAACAGCTGTGTAAGCCAAAGTGCCCTGCAGACCTCTCTCCCCCCTGATTCTGCCTCTTCCCACAGCAACTCACCACAACACCAAAGAGCTTCAACATGCGCTCCGCTCGTTCAATGCTCTCCTTCATAAGTCATAATATATCTTTGTCTGCTTTAGCCCATGTACATACATGCATATGTATGAATGTATATTTATATGTACATGCACATGTGTATGCATGTATGTATGTATCAGTGTAGTAGCAGGAAGCAAAGAACAAATGAAGAATTATCGTAATATGTGTATACATACATAGGTATGTATGTTTGTATGTACAAGAACGGGTTTGTGCAATGCAGTCGCAAGCAACAAGAGGAAGAATTTGCCAATCGCAGCAGCAGCAGCAGCAACAACGCGTCCAACACTTCTTTTTTTTAATGTTAAACAAAGAGTCTGGAATACACACACCCACTTAACTGTATGGATGTATGGATGTTTGCTTGCATGCTTGGAAATTGATCAACACAACATTTGCATAATTCGCAATTTATCGAACACTGTTAAGCATATCTGAGCAATTTCCATGACGCTCCCTGTTCAGAAGTCAAGCTTGAGAAAGCTCAGACGACGGCATTGCGGCCTCTCACATGGGGTGCGCATCACTCTTGAACATTTAGAAGGTCACTCGGAAAGCCGCGTCTGCGTCACGCGTAGTACACTCACATATGTATGTGTATGTATAAATGTGCTTATGTATACACTCATATAAGGAATTGAATTTCAGATGCTACAATACGATATTTAACATTGAAACTAGAGCTGGAAACTTGTCGTGATTTCTTGTAATAGGCACTGTTTTTTAAAACAACTTATTAAACTACATGTTCTCAGAATTAACTTATAGAATGTACATACATTTCGTGTGCAAAATTAACACGTTGCCATCTCTAGCTGAAATTAAAACTGTTTTGTAGACAACAGGATTCGCTTGATGTGACATTTTACAGTTTTGTTTTCAATGGAAGCGCAAAACAGTGTTTTGACATTCTTAACATTTTGTTGCTATTGTTGAACTTTCCAAAATGCGCATGATCTTCCATGCTCTCTCACTCGCTACCGCTTCATTCTTTTTCACTCTCTCGCTCTCTGTTGGTGGGCGCTTTGTTTCGCATTTGTTTATATGGTAAGCGAAAAGTACAAGCCACAAACAAAAATTGTATATGGTTGTATTGGGGGCCTTGTTAAGCCAAGTCTGTGTGCGTGCGAATGTGAGGCCGTATGTGTGTGTTTGTGAGTGTGTGCAAGGGGGCTTGCAAAGATTAAGAAGAAATATAATAATTCATACAGAAAATAAGCATGAATAATGCGCAACGGCGCCGCATTCCAGGCATAGCTGGGCAGCACTGGCCTTTGTGTATTTGTGTATGTGTGGGTGCGAGGGAGAGGAGGCGATGGTTTGCTGATAAGCAATGAAAGCAATAGCAAACAGCTGTCTAGGCCAACGTAACGGGGTGTGGTGGGATTGTGTGCTGTGTTACTCACCTTTGGCAATTCCCGTTTACGTCTGTAGATCACAACATCGCTTTCAATATAATCTGGCACCTCCTTGGTGCTTTTCGAAAAGTTAAACACCATGGAGGTGTTGTTGTCCGCATGGGAGCTGCTGCCTACGCCGCTGCTTCCATTGGCGCCACCTGTCGGCTGACGGCGCTTGCGCAACGGCCAAATGGGCGAAATGCCGCTGCTCGCTGCGTCCGTTTCGCAGCCATCCTTGGTGTTTGTATTTATCACGGTATCCAGACTAGTTGCTGCTGCTGCTGCGGCGGCGGCGGCAGCTGCATCTGCAGCCAATGCTGTTGACTTTTTCATCTCATTAATGCGATTCTTCTCAATCTCGCGACTGGTCAGCGGCGTACCGCATCCGGAACTGGTGCTCGAATTATTCAGCAGCGGCCTGATGACACCAATTTGCTTCGTTGTTGTTGTTGTTGTTGCTGTTGCTGCTGCTGCCGCTGCAGCTGTTGTGGATTCACTGTTATCGCTTCTACGTTGCGGAAGCTTTCGACTACTGGAACTCGTGCTGGAAGCGTGTGCGTTCTCTTGCAAGGCGACAGCAAATGAACGCTGGGCGCTGCCGCCAACGCCAACGCCTCCTGCTTCATCCAGCTGCTGCGCTGCCGTCGACGCCGCTGCTGTTAACTTATCGCCATTGCAAACATCGTCGCCGTCAATTTCAGCCTCAGCTGTTGCTGCTACGTCGCCGTCCCCGTTGCCGTTGTCGACGTCATTTTCGTTGCCCTCGTCGTTCGCTTCGTCTTTGCTGCCGCCGTCGTCGTCATCGTCGTCGGGCTCGTCAGTTGCCGCCTGCGTGCGCTGCTGATCGCTGACTAAGCGCTGATTGCTGCCGCCCGCAACCACCCCAACGCCGGACTCTGGCTGCGCTGCCGTTCCCGCCGACGCCGCCGTCGTCGCTGATGAGCTTTCCAAGTGTATGCGTTCCAGCATTTTGCTTATGTTCGTCACAGGCGAATCGTAGGTTTCCAGCTGCCTGGGTATGATGTCTGGAACGACGGCACTGGCGACGCGCTGCTTGGGCGTCGACGCAGCGAAACCAGCTCCAGTCGACGGTGTTGCGCTCGCGGTGGCGACGCCATCCCGCTTGATGCCGCCGAGGGTGCTGTTGCTTGGTGGCTTCTGCTCCTTGATGATCGACTTGTAGTTGGCCACTTTGCTGGCAACGCCGCCGACGCCGTTGCTGCGCTGGGTGGCGCGAGGTCGTCGGTTGGCGCTCGCCTCGAACATCTTGAGGGTCTGCTTGACGAGGTCCGGAGGCGGACGTTCCGTGTCATCGATGATGGAGGTCAGACGCTTAGGCGGCGTGGCGTCGGTGCCGCTGTGCAGTCGCTCGCGTGCATTGTGAATCTTATCCTCGATGCTGACGCAGGTGGGCGTGCCGGGGGCAGTGATGGTAGCTCCAACTCCAATGCCAGCTGCAGCGCCGCCTGATCCAGTGATAGCAGCCGACATAGCGCTGCTGTTAACCACAGCCGATGCCTGATAACTGGCGCGCTGCGTATTCCAAGGCGACTTCTCGCAGAGCAGCGCTTCGACAGAGCGAGCGCGTTTCATTACTTCGTTGCCGCGCTTAAAGTGACGCGAACGCAGCCCATTACCGTTAACCGGCGACGTCGCCGTCGGCGACTGCACTGACTGTTGCTCCTGCGTCGCCCGCTGCTGCTGCTGTTGCTGCTGGTGTTGCTGTTGGCGTAGCTGCTGCTGTTGATGCAAGACATTCACGCTTTTAATGTAACCGCTGCTGCTCGCTGGCTTGGCGCTTAGTATGGGGGGCGCTGCAGCGCTGCGCGTTACATTCACATTGACTGCAGCATTGACTGCGCCTGCGTCGCTGTTTACATGCTGTTGCTGCACATGATGATGATGATGCTGATCATCCTCGGCGTCGTCGTCGTTGCGATCGAGCAGCGTATTGAGGCTGGTGGAGCGCTGCAGTCGCTGCTTTTGGCTCTGTTGGCGTGACTCGCAGCGCAGGGCTAGATTTAGATAGCGGCAGCGCAGCTTGGACACAATGCCGGGGCCATAGCTGAACTCCTCAGTTTGATCGACGGTATCCAAGAGCGTTGGCAGCGCACTAACGCCGACGTCCAGGTCGGCGTCGGCGCTCTTTAAATGCAGCTGTTGTTGCTGCTGCTGATGGTGATGATGATGATGATGTTGATGATGATGATGATGATGACGCTGTTGGCCATTTTGTGTGGTTGTCTTTTTCATTTCTTGCATGGCGACCATTGTCGTTTTTACCGCTACTTTTGTGGGCGACGCGGCCGTTTGGCGTTCCAATTGCTGGTATTGCTGTTGCTGTTGTTGTTGCTGTTGCTGCTGTTGATTTTTAATGAACTTGTTGCTCTGCAATTTATCGGATATTTTCGTTTTACAATTTTTATCAATTATAATTGGCGTAGTGTTGCTAAAATTATGTAGCGCTGCTTCAGCAACGCTCTGGCCTGGTTTGCATTTCGTTTGCAACTGATTTGCTGACGACGACGAAGTTGCCGTTGTTGCTGTCGTTTGTTTCACATTTGCGCTGCCGCTGCCGCCGCCGCTGCCACCGCTGCCGTTATTGTTGCTGCCTTTTGCTGTTAATGCTCCAGTTGTCGCTGTGCCAGTTTCAACTTCACCAGAGCGCCCGCTCGCATATGCCATGCCAACGGCAGCGCTATTCACCTCAACGTCACGCTCTCCGCACGCTCGCTCGCGCTCTCTTTCGCGCTCTCTGGCATCCAAATTTAGAATCTCTTCTTGCTCCTTGCCAGTTGATTGACTTCTTGTGTTGAATAAACTTGATCGCTGCTTTGGTATTGGTGGTGCTGCTGCTGCTGTTGATGCTGCCGTTTCGGCTGAAAAGGCCGTGGCTAAGTCTTTGCCTTGTGTACTTTGGGCTGTTGCTGCTGTAGCTGCTGTTTCTGCTGGAAGCGTCTGATGACCTCCACTTCCAATAAAACATTTCTCAGACTTTTCCTCTGTTGTTGGTGAAGTCTTAAATGCTGCTGCTTGCTGGTATGTTTGGCTTACATTTCGTTTCACATGCTGCTGCTGCTGCTGTTGACTAGTTATTGTTGTTGTTGTTGTTGTTGTCGTTGGTGTTGTGGCTGAGGCTGCGGCTGGGCTGCCGTCAGTTGCACCTGAATCTGCAATTGAATTGGCCATAAAACGAGAGTCCAAATTGATGACAAATTCGAAATACTAAAAACTATGGAGTGAAATGTATATATATAATATGTTATAGATTCTATTTCCTACGTTTGTGACTAACCAACAATGGGTTGCTTTGACTTCTAGTTCAATTAACAATTGATAACATTCGATAAGAGCAGGTACAAGCAAATACGAGTTTGGGTAGTCGTTGTCAGTGGGCGGGCACAACTAAGCATTATACCCTGTGTGGTGCTACAGAGCTCAATATTGATTGATAGCGTAAAGATGTGTTAGACTCTCTGGTACCCAGAACGACCCATTTAGAGTATGTTGGACTACCTGATACCCTATATTCATCTATAAAATTGGTTACCCTGTATTGTGCTACAGGACATTAAATTGATCCTAAATTGGTCCTAGTAGATTGTAGCAGATTCTCTATTGGAGGATACCCTGTATTCTTGTATACCCTGTAGAGCTATACAATATATACATAAATACATTTCTTCAGTTTAGCGTATTCGACTATCTGTTACTCTATATTGTGCTAGGAAATGCATGCTAGAGAACGAGGTATGCCAGACGGCATCATACCCTGTATCAAACTAATTTATGTGTCGTAATAGGTACACCTATCAAAATTATAGCTGCTGATTTGATTGTTAATCATTTTCTAATGAATAAAGGATTTCGGAACAGACCTCGCTGTTGTCACCGCAATTGTTATCGATAAACGATTACTCACAATAGTAAAACCAATTGTGCATGTGTGTGCCTGTGGGGACTTTTGATATTCACAGGTGAAATAACATCGACCCAGGCAAACAGCTTTCAATAATTATAATTTCATTTTTTAATCAGCTCAACGTATTAACGTGGCTAATTATACACCCCAGCTGTAAAGCCAATTGCAAGCTTACACATCTCACATACTATATAAAGATATTGATATGGATATAATACACATTATTACATACACAATATGTAAGCATACATATTATATACATAGATATGCATATGGCATTGCAACTGCCTATTGCCACATTCAGCACATTTGCGATTTCATGAATCGATATCGATACCTCCAATTTGTTTTTCCTTTTCTACATATTTTTTCTTCTGAACGAACGAATCGTCTTCAATTACAGAAAATCAAAAACCAATTGTATATACATATATATATCTGCTTTTTTGTATTTATTTCTAGTTACTGCAAACAAGCCTTTTAGTTTGATTTCATATTTGATTTTCTAGGTATGATAATGCGAGAAGAGTACATTGGTTTTATTGAATGTTTGTCTAATCGAGTTTTTGAAACAATCGGGATATACAATATCTGGTATGACTAATTAATTCTGGTGATACTCGCGTAGTTAACCCAACATCATATTATAATTATATATATATATATTAGTATATGAAAATACATTAAATTGATGCAAACTTAAGTCCTTTCAGATCTAGTATAAAAATTTGATTTATATATATCCAGATATACTCAATCTATACGATTTAGCAAAAACTGTTGTACAGTTAAAAGATTTTGAAGACTATTATATAAATACAATACATATATATCTATATATAGCTGAAGCTAAAACTCAGGTTAAGCACCTGACATGCTTGAACTCACCTGCGGGTTCAGTGAAAGCCGCACAACTGCCATCAGCTGTTGGCACCGCTGAGGTGGGTGAGCTGGCGGCGGCATTGGTTCGAGCCACATTCGTTTTGCGGCGCTGTATCAAGTCCTTCTTCCATTGCGGCATATCCGGCAGGAAGCCCGCCGAAGGAGTCGTAGCTGGCGACATGATCTCAGCTCCAGCTCCAGCTCCAGTTCCCGACCCAGTTCCAGTTCCAGCAACGTCCGCAGCTAAATGCAATGTGGGTCGCTTCGGTGGCTCCAGCGATGACATTTTTGGCTAAATTTAACGCTGCAATTGGCATTCTGTGTGTTAGTGCATCGCATCAGCCAACGGACTTCCGAGGTTTTTCAAATAGTTTAGACAAATAAAAAACAAAACAAAAAAATCAAATGTCCCGTGCCCGATGCCCGCTGACCGTTCACCGTTCACCGTTCACAGAGACGTCTCGACCCAAGCGCTCGACTCGACAAACTGAAGCGCGGCTCTGACAATGCCAAATGCAATGCATTCCACATTCCGCTACCAAAGTGCGGGCCTAAGCGAAGCATTAACTCAATTGACCCAGCTGATACCCTAAACTGAACTGCGACCAGCACGACTCGGCTGGAGCTCTAGCGCCAGCAAGAAAGTCTAGAGTAGTAGGAGTTTCGCCAAGTCATTAAATAGCAATAAAAATATCAAATAAAATAAAATGTACGAAAATATATATATTTACAAAACTTGCATGAATACAAAAACACATATACTAAATTATTAAAAATATATAAAAAATAAAAAAAATACATATATAAATTTATTTATTTTTTCATTTTAGCAAACATATTATATATATTTATCAAATTTTACTATAGAGTATTTCACTTAAATTTTGTAAAATTCAATTTTGTTATTGTTTGCCAATTTAATTATTTATTTTCACTTTTTTTAGTTCATTTAATAATTTACTTGTTTTTTTTTAGCCTTCTTGTGCAGCGTATGCAAAAGTCGGGTTCATTCTGTGCGCTACACTCTTTGCATTTTGCGTTAATTGGATTAACTGTATTTGTTTTCTTTTTCAATAAAACCAAAAAAAACCAAAGAAACCTCAATATTTGTTCATTGTGTAAAAAATAAAGCATAATTAAAAAAAAAAAAAAAAAAAAAAAACGGTGAAGAAGCAGAACATAAATGAAGAATAAGCTAAAAATATGAATATATAAAAATGCAAGTGAATTACTTTTCATTTCGTTTTGCTTCATTTTTGGGCATTGATTTTCTCCTATGCTCGCGATCGTTCCTTCTGTGAACGTGTGAGCGAGGGAGGGGTAATGATAGTGGGTGAGCAGGTGAGAGCGAGACAGCGAGAGTGAGAGAGCGTGCGGCAAGTGTCAAATTGAGCTCAGCTTAAATCATAGTTTTTCATATTTGCCTCTTACTTTCGACTGTGTGTGTGTGTGTGTGTACGTGCGAGCATGTGTATCCGTGTATGACTGCTGCATGTGTGTGCAAGGGTGCAGAGCGCAGGAGCGGAGCAGGGGCTGCAAATCGCAGACGAAGCATAAAGTAAACAAGCGGCAGCGGCGTCGCTGCGGGCTGTGCATATTATCGATTTTTACAAGCTGCAAGAACTTTTGAGCTACACACACACAAACACAAGCATACACAGGGAGTTAGATGCCTGCATACATACATTAATAGATCTGAATGTATGGGTGAAACAACTTTTGCTGTCTGGCGTCGGGTTGAAAAGAAAGCGTCTAACAAAAAAAAAAAAAAAAAAAAAAGCCGCACAAAGAACATAAAAAGCATAGGTAGCCTGCAAATTAATGAACAGCCCCTCTTTTTGGGAATGTCCAATGGGCTGGTATTCAAATTAGTCAGTGCTGACGGCCAAGAGCCGGGCTCTGTTTATTTACACACGCATCACACACACATGAACACGCACGTACGCACACAGATGCGAGTATAAACATAAACAATTTGCTGAGAAGTTGCTTACTTTTGCGTCCGATTCAGTGTGGTAGGCCCTTAACTTGTATGTGTGCTCATATGTCTGATAGTCGTGTGCATGGATGTAATTGATAAGCAGCTCCTTAAATTAATATTATATACGCGCACTTTCTTTGCACTGCACTCGGTATAAATGCAATTAAGTCGCCGTTCACTGCGCTAAAATGCTCGGAGCAACTGAGCAGTGTTGTCTTACACGCAAAACTATCGAGCTATTTATCGATAGTCGGCTTTGTATACATTTTGATAGTAGGTGGACTTCAATTGAATTTGATATGATTAACTCAGAAAATTAATTTAAATAAACGCACAATTAGTATATTGCTTTTTTTTTTTTTGTACTAACTTTTCATTGAATAAATAATATAAACATTTCCTAAAAAGCGATAAAAAGGAGCTGATAGTATCCGAATTCAAATTTTATAATTAGAATGCTATCATTTTGCTCTTTCCTTTTTATATATTAATAAATAAACACGAACCATTTTTTTTTTTTTTTTGCACTGTATGAGCTTCTCCTAGTATAATCCTAACTTGTTTTCAAATAACTGAATTGGCACCATTAATCAAGATCTCAAAATAAAAATAAAAATTGAATGGGAACTCATATGGCTCATTTAAGTATATGAAACTTTGTTTGCATAGAGCGTTGCTTATGAGTTATTCTCAGATTCGGGTTTGTTTGTATTTATATTTATTATAAACAATTTACGTCCGAATGCTGTCGCCAGATGTTGCCTTCAAATAGGCAAATGCGCGGTTTTTTGCAGCCGACTAATAGAATGTTAACTCATATTGGTCATGTTAAACGAATGCAGCCCTGGTACTGAGCTTGCAATGAGTTGGCAGTGCTTTCTATGCATTTCTCTGTTTCGTGTTTATGTTTTTAATTGTTAAGAGAAATGAGTATTAACTGGATTAAAATAACCGAGCGGTAATTTATCTAAGATTTCATTCATGTGAATTATCACTCATATTCCTTACATTTGCCATTCAGCGCACGCGAAGGAATCAAAATCATCAATGCTCTGCCCTACGATACGTTCACCACAGTTTTGCTCTACGTCCACCGCCAGATGAGTCCGGGGAGCTCTGCTGCAGTTGCCTCTGCTGCCTCGGCCGCTGGCGTAGCGAATGCAGCCAACAGCTCGGGCAATGCCGCAGGCAGCACGACAGTGGGCACCAGTGTCACAACCACCGAGCGTACGGGCAGCAGCATTGAGACGAGCCACACGAGCAGCGAGCCCGAATATACACTGGAGGAGCTGGAGCGTTTGGTGGGCGTGCCCCGGGCAGACTTTTTACTGTTGATCAAGACTTTCTCGTATATTTTGCGACGAATTTCGACGTTTATCATCAAGCCCAGCCATTTGCAGCGCGAGCTGCGTGAGAAACTCCAACTGCAGGATGAAGCCAAAATCGATGCTATTCTGCGGCTATGGGTGAGGCAGACGACGCCAATGCTCAATAATTTGGCCAGCGACCGGTACGAGTCGAATGTGATTGAAGATATGGCATGGAAGCTGAATGTGGAGATTGCCTCGCATTGCCAGCAGCGCGAGAAGACAGCGCTGGCCGTACTCCAGTTGAAGACGGTCGCCGGCGAGGATATTAATTTTGAGATGACACAGCCGGAGCTGCTGCAGCTGTTCAATCAGTTTGAGCACATTCAATCGGAGCTGGATGCCACCTTGGCCAATATGAAAGGCAACGAGGGCGAGCACTGAACGAACTGCATTCGACCCATATTTATGCAATATTCCCCAAATATTAGCGCAGGCTGTTTGTAAGACTTATGTATATATTAAATTGTTAAATTTGTTTATTTTTTTTACGTAATTTAAATTAATTTTATTTAGAAATGAGCTACAATAAAATTGCATTCAAAAATCAAATAGGAATAAGGGCAATCGATAGCATTAACGATAGCTAATATCGTATTTAAAGCCGCTGCTAAACGAAATAGTCGGAAAAGTGTTTGATAACGTTTAACTTTCGTTAAGTTGTGCGCCCCATCGATAACAATTTGCGCGCCAATAAAAGCCGTTGATATTTGAAATGAAATTCGAACTGGTTCTTTTGGTTTTCTTGCTTTTTAATATGTTCTTTTTTGCTTGTTTCATAATTCTACTGATAAACATTACAAATTATTACACTGATATAGATGTACCTTTTTATATATATATATGTATATATTGTATATGCATATGTATTTTCGTTTATGTATAATATATATATATATGTGTATATCAAGTCGAAACTCTTGCAGACTTGTTAGTTATTCATTCATGCATATGTATTTAGTTTATACTCGTAAGTAATTAGGTTTGTGTGTGTGTGTGTGTATGTGTCTTTTTAGTGTGAATTGCACATTTGTGGCCTGTGGGTCAATGGGGTATCGTTGTTTCCATATAGTATTTATAACTTTTTCCTGTTTCCTAGACTAAAAGCAAAACATTTCTATTGCACATTATCAACTAATTTCAACTAAGCTGGAACCAATTGTGTGTTGGCAACTGAAATTATACTACATTCGTTATATTTGTTTCTCTCTTCCTATTGCTAAATGTTTATTGTTATTGTTAGTTTTTAGTTACTCTTTTCTGCTTGCTACTCTCGTGTGTGTGCGTGTGTGTGTGTTTGACTATGTAAGTGTGTTTTGGCACCGGCTAAATGCTTATGTTAATTCGCTTACTGTTAAGCTACAGAGTCTACTTTAACATTCGGTTGTTTTTAATCATTTTATGCATACATACAAAAACCATAAACGAAATTCTTTTGTTTTTGTTGTGTAAATGATTATCGCCTGGCAGTAATGCGTTGGTCATTTGTGCTTTTATTGTTATTCTTGTTGTTGCTGTTGCTCGGTGTACGGTTTCTATTTTGTGTCATTTCATATGCTTCTCGTAAGCTAACAGCGCCTTGTGCATTGAACAGTACCGCGCGCTGCTAGCTTAGATATGGCATGTTAAACGTTGTATTGTGTCTGTTAGGCCAACAGCGCCTTGTGCATTAACAGTACTGCGCGCTGTTAGCTTGAATATTTTAGATAAAACGAAAAATTTGTTTCAAAATAAGAAATAAACACAAAAATTTATAATTTTTTTTTTTTTTTTTTTTTAAATAAAATTCTATATAATTAAACAATATTAAAGTAGCACATACACATACATCAAATTACACACATATACAAAGGTATTGTTTACATATATAGTATATCAATTAAAAAAAAAAAATAATAGAAATATATTAAAAATTAGATTGATACAAATTGTTTGCTTTATCATATTGTTTAAAACTATGTAACTGAAATATTGCAATTTTTACATTATACATTTTACGTATATGTACACAAGAATGTGTTATATATATATATATCGTAAGCAGTGCTTAACTTTCTTTTAGTTTTTTTTTTTATATATATGGAGATATATATATATGGTATAGTATATGTATATAAAAACCATTTAGCGCTCGTTCTCCTCTTCGTCTTCAACTAACATTTAGTGTACAAAAAATTGGAAGTTACATATAGATTTATATATATGTAGGTATATATATGTATATGTTTACAAAAAAATTGTGGCTAGCGATAAAAATAAGTTGTTTTTCGTTTTCATTTCTTTTGTTTTGACAATTAGTTTTATAATAGTAATAATAATAATAATAATAATAATAATATCGGTAGTTTCCATTAGCAGCGTTTACAGAGTACAAGACGAGACAGGATTGGATTGATATATATGTATATTGTATCTATATATAAAGGGTATATAGTATTGTATTTGGAAGAAAATTTGCAACGCCTTACCACATACATACGTACATATACCTCTATATATATCTATATATGTATATAGCTCTTCGACTTTGAAATCGTTCTGCAAAGCAATTTTTCTCTAAAAAAAAATTGTTTTTTTTTCTCACATATACATACATATATATAGAAAAAGTGCTCCAATCCAGGCAAGTCGTACCACATACGATATACTTACATACATACTCATATGTATGTATATATATATATATATATATGGGCTATATCGATAGCATAATATCAAGCGTTACTTATCGAGTTGATCTTAAGTAAAAATTTAATTATTTAGTTTGCCACATCGGATTCATCGCATTGCTTCTACGTTTCGGTTGCAGGTGGGCGTGGGGGTAGGTGGTGTTGCAGTTGTGGGCGTGGCTATTGTGTCAATCGTCAATCGTTCAGCTCACATGCCCGATTCCGCAATGCCCTCGTCATCTGCAAGCATTATCTAATATTAGCATTTGTTATCTAATTATCATTTCAATGGAGCAAGCAAAAACATAAAAACGGCTTCGTCAGACCGAAGCTCAAATACCCTTGCAGACAGAGCGATGTGTAATAATATATGTGTAGATATATCTGTTATCTAGGATCACTTTGGCTTAAGAATGGCTAATGAATGGTTGTCTATGCTAAGTCGGGCTTGACTGACTGCATAATACTCGCACTAACAGTTTAGGCTGCACTCTCTATATGTATACGTATTACGACTTGCCACGCCCCTAGATTTATAACTTTAGCTATGAGCTCAGCTTTGATTCTTGGCTTTCTCTACATATATAGTCTATGAAGCGGGACAATAGCGGCAGTCGATCTTAACTATATTAGTTACTTGTACGTGTGCTTGGCCGTACTTTCGCCCGTTCGTCTGTACTTTTACTTGTCTGTCTGCCTGTCCGTCCGTCTGTCTTTCGATCTGTTCGTTTGTTCGTCCGTCTCATTGAACTTCTGTTTGTCTGTCCGTTCATGCGACTATCCGTCTGTCCGTCCGTTTATCTGTCTGTTCGTCCGTTCATTTGTACTTCTACTTCTCCTCCCGTCCGTTTATCTGCCTGTCCTTCTATCTGTCCGTTTGTTCCTCTCTCATTGAACTTCTGCTTGTATGTCCGCTTATCCGACTATCCGTCTGTCCCTCCGTTTATCCGTCTGTTCGTCCGTTCATTTGTACTTCTATTTCTCTGTCCGTCCGTTTTTCTGCCTGTCCTTCCATCTATTCGTTTGTTCCTTTGTCTGATTGAACTTCTGCTTGTCTGTCCGTTCATCTGCCTGTCCGTCCGTTCGTCTATCCGTTGGTTCGTCCGTCCGATTGTACTGCTGCCTATCTGTACGTCTGTCTATTTGTCTGTCTGTCCGTCCGT